CGGCCTGGGTCGCGCTCTTCGGCGGCGCCGCGCGGATCGCAGGACCGTTTCCAGCGCAGGGAAACGAGGGGGCGCGCTGCACGTCCGGTCCCACGTGGGCCGGCCCGTCCTGGGTGGGAGGAACGCGTCCTCGGTGCTCCAGTGCCTGGCGCTGTGCGAGGTGCGGGGCGGCACACCTCGAGGGGCTTTCCTGGGGCAGGAAGCTGGGTGAATAGATGGCGCAGCTGCGGCGGCGCGTGACTGCGGAGTGACCTGGAGGCCCCGGGCGCTGGCCTGGACCCGGTGGTTGGGAAGGGTGTTTGGGAGGGACCTGAAGGGTGAGTGGAGAGCGCAGGCCCTGCGGAGGGAACAGCGGTGTAAAGGTCCTGAGGCACGGAACGGCAGCCAGAAGGCGGAAGCGTAGCAGTGTAACCCGTGCCTTATATTCCATGAGAACTTAGAAAAGTGTGTGCCTAAGTCATGTAGTGTGAATGTAGATCTCAAGAGGACGATACAGAACACTGCATTAGATTAATTAGTTTCAGGTGTGGGAAAGACTTCCTGTATGAAAGTGGGCAAGTTCCCGCCTGGGGGAGTGGGGGTGTCCCATTTCTTGAGCACCCACCCCATGCCAGGTCCCCAGTTCTCACTACAGAACTGGGAGGCATTTTGCACGTCAGAAAATGGAGGCTGAAAGACATCAAATGGCTTTTCCATGGTCATTGAGCGAGCAAACAGGAGAGCCAAGACCCATCCTCATGTCCATTTGGGCTGTGATGTGTCAGCCTGGTTGCGTTAGATTTAGGGTTCTGAGGAGGTGGCTGTGCTCTGGGCTGAGGTTCCATTGTGCCTTGGGATACAGGTGGTGATCAGGAAGGTATACTGACCTTGGTGGGTCCACGTGAAGGGAAAGGCAGCAGAAAGGGAGCCCCCAAGCAGGAGCAGCCTCAAGAGCAGTGGGGGCAGCCTACACGTGCAGGGCCCTCCCCAATTGGCTCTCTAAAACACTTCCACCAGCTGAAATGGAAGCACGCTCTTGTCCCTACTGGGAAGGTGTGAGTTTTGCTAGTATTTTCACTCAGGAGAAAGCACTTGTGCTTTTTTTTTTTTTTTTCCCAGCTGGACCTGGGATTCTGAATGCTTGAGCATAGGCTTTATCAATTTGAAGGGGTCAGAAAACTGCAGAACTTGTGCCAGTTGTTGCTGGAACCACTGGAACCCAGCTCCAGGCCTCAGGGTTTCTCCTGTCCCACTGAGCACTCTGCAGGCCCATTCTGGCAGCACATCAAGGTGCAGTTGGTAGCTGGAGCTCTGCTGTTTTCAGTTAAATCCCTTTAAGCAGAGGACACCCTCCACTCCCTGGATGAGGCTTATGGTTTTTCTACTGTGGACATGCTGTTCTGCTGTTATTCTGTCCAGAGGAAGTTTACTATCTCACGTTCTAGAGTGGCTTTCTGTTCTGAACTGACTGCTTCACAAATACTTCTGCAAGGACATTTCCACAAAAACCCACAACCATTCCCACAGCCTACATGCTGTACACGGTAGCGTGGCCCACAAAGAGAGGGATCTTTTAGCATCAGAAATCAAGTTTATTAAAAAAGCATTACAAGTATAATGAAATTTACTTTTGCCTCTGCTCCAGTGTATTTTTGTATAAATCATACTAGATATGACAGTTAAGGCTTTGAAAACATAGCATCTAAAATAAAACAACAAAAAAATGCCAAGGTCAAAGGGAGAAAAAGGGTCTTCACATCAAGGACACCTGATTCTATCTGTGAAGGTGTGGCAGTGAGGACCTGCTGGCCCTGGCAAGCTACACCCTGACCCCCAGGCACCCAAGGCCAAGTGCTCTGGTTCTGCTAGGCAGGGATGTGGTGGGAGGGGAAGTGGAATGTTCACAGCTCGCTAAATGCAAGCACATGTTCTGTGAAAGCAGCTACTACCCCAAGGTCCATCACTGCACTTCCTTCTGCAGATGCTGGGGGCTCATTCATGGAGAGGAACTGCAGTTGCTTCTATGCCTGCCTTTGCAGGTGTGCCCAGGGAGGTGCCTTGTGAATGTGGGGCAAGCACTACTGAGTTGTGCCTTTCACCCCTCTTGCATTTCTGTAGCTCAAAAGTATAGGCCTGATTGGATCCCTAACTTATCTGGAATGTACATGAAAGACAGGGCCTCCAAGGTGTGGATGGCTGGTATCCTGATCCAGCTGCAAATGGGCCCTGAGCTGTGAGGAACAGGAATTCGCCCTGAGGTTTCAAAAGGAGACAAAACTTACAATGAAAAAGGCAGCACAAGATCAGGGCAAATATTTTCCCTTTTTCAGAAAGGGAACTGGTTTTGTACTCTCTCTGAGGCTCAGTTTTTATGGTGCGGTGGAGACCCAAAGAAAGTACTGGGAATTCACATACTCAGGGAAGCTGAACTGGCACCAAGACTGCATGCTTACATAGTACAACACCCACAGCCAAAACCTCCCCATGGCATCACCAGGAGCTGCCTCTGATGAACTTCATTTATACGCTCAAGATACAAAAACCAGAAGGAGCTCTGACTGACAGTAGACTCCATTTTATTCATGGGGAAACCGAAACCCTAGCAATGTCCTGAATCCCATGCTCGTCACAGATTTGTTGGCTCTGACCTTTTGGAATCTGGCAGTGACTCACAGTCTGGTTGGTGTTTGTTCATGTGGTCTTAAGGCAAGTGCGGACACCCTGGCTTTCCTTGTGTTAGTGAGAAGATGAATGTGGTGCTTTTTTCACATCTTAGAACCCAAGAAATATGGGCACAGTACGCAGAATTTCAGGGACTGGAAGAGAAAAGAAAAACAGATTCTCCTCTATGTGTGCAGAATAGAATAGAGAAGAAAAAAGACCAACATGCCTGTGTGGCAGTGGGAGGAAGAGGCTACAGGCCCGACACAGGTCTCTGCTGGTGTGTCCCTTTGTTTCTGTTCTTCAAATGCACAGGGTGGCAGGTGATTTCCATTTCCAAATAATTGCCATCCTCACCACTTACTGAACCGTATTCATATATAACACGAGAATCCTGGAATCTGCATGTGTTCCAGAAATGGCTTGTCTTTCAAAAAAGCTGTAAGCTGGCACACGACGTGCTGGCCTTGACTTCAGTGCTGTGCCAACACTTTCCTCCCAGGTGCCCCCAGGGGCACAGAGAGGGGAGGGAGCCATGTCTGCAGTGTATCCAGAAACAGAGTGGACAGTCCTATCTTGCTTGCCGGTCCTGTTTCCGTGCAGCTGCTGCTTTCCACACAGACACGCAGCTAGACAGCAGGATCTCTTCTGGGAACTGGGATTCCACTTCCGGAAGAATGTCACTGTCTTTGGTTTCCATGTAACTCACCAGAGTGTCCCTCAGGCTGCAAAGTCAGGAGAAGAGAGAGTGTTTAGAGCTTCAGGAGCCCACCAGCTGCCACTCTTTCCAGGCATTGACAGGTCTGAAGTGCTAACTAAGACCAGAAACCCTGAGGGTCAGCTTAAAGTCAGCCTGGACCTGGAGTCCAAGGCGTAGCTTCCTCAAGGATGTCCAGCTGGGCCACTTCAGGCACTCCCCTGACGAGCCTGTCTGGCTACATCAGAAATGGGGCTTTGCCATTCAGAAAAGGCATGCATTCCCTCCCATGGCAGATTCTCTAGAAGGGGAGCTCTGTTGTACACAGGCATGTGCCATATGGCCTGAGGGCACACATGGCCAGGGTGGCCTGACTATCCATCCAGAAAACTAGTCAAGTGAAATGCCTGCCTCACACCACACATTAAAAGTGAACCAACGAAACAGACGTGCAAGACAGAACTATAAAGGTAGCAGGAGAAAGTGTGAGGCTGCTTTAGCACCCCAGGATGCAATAAGGAGGGCCTCCAGAGTATGTCCCCATGGTGGCCTTTTCTGTTTTCTTTTTCATACTGGGGATTGCACCCAGGGGTGCGTTACCATCTGAGCCACATCCCCAACCCTTTTTTATATCTTATTTAGAGACAAGGTCTCTGAGTGGCTTAGGGCTTTACAAAATTGCTGAGGCTGGCTGTGAACTCATGATCTTCCTGATCCATCCTCCCAAGCCGCGGGGATTATGGGCGTGTGCCACTGAACCCAGCCCCTCAAGGCTTTATGAAAAACTCCTCCATCAGCTTTGACTTCTAGACTAGATGATGTGTGGATCAAATATTAATCTGTTCTATACAAAGAGCTTTTACAAACCATTAAGAAAGAAACTCATCAAGGACCATTACATGAAGATCATTGAGAAAAGCGGCTATCAGGCCCTGCCCTGGATTTATTATATCACCCAGAGTGGCAATTATCAACTTCGTACCAGCTAGGTGGGAGAATTGGGGGTTTGAACATGAGGGCTCCCTCTCCTCAGGGTCCCACTGCATATTTTAGAGAGGGGCTGGAAAGTGTGGTGGGGTGTGTGTGGGGGGGGTGGGGGCAGGCCACTGACTTAGCAAGTTTCCTGCTCCCAGCACCCACCCCCTGCTCCTTGTCTCTTTTACTCATGGGCCAGGAGGGATGGTCTCTTTGCCTCCCTTACTCTTGGGGCCTTGCCACCCCAATTTTATATGAAGAAGTATCAGAGGGGCTTGAAGCCCCCCTCATGAGTGCCTCTTTGCAGTGTCCTGCCTTAGGGTATACTTAGGACCCCTCCTCCTTCACAGCTGCTGAGCCCAGAGGCCCCTCTGGCCCGTTACTCTGAACTTTAGGATGTCATCAAAATGATGCACCTCAAAAAAAAGAGAGATAAGCTGGTCAGGTGTGGTGGCATATGCCTGTAATCCTAGCAGTTGGTCAGACTGAGGCAGGAGGATTATAGATTTGATGCTAGCCTCAGCAGTAGAGGCCCTGTCTCAATATGAAAAATAAAAAGCTGGGGATGCAGCGCAGTGGTTAAGTGCCCATGGATTTAATCCCTGGTACCAAATGATAAAAAAGAAAGAGATCAACTGCCCTGCCCAGTAACCAAAAGCTACCAAGAGATGATTCAGACAATGATTAAAAAATGGTGATAAATTTTAAAATGTGCCAGCCACACAAGTAGGTAGGGAAACACAAATGAAATCAAGATATCATTTTTTGGCCATTAGATTGACAAAAATGTAAGCGTTTAGCTAATTTTGGGTATTTTTAGACTTCATACATTGTTGTGGCTTTTTCTTCCTAATCTAAAATGCATCTCTTTGACATAGTTAAGCATACTTGTTATAATAAGAATAAATAATTTTTTAGTTATTTTTTTAAAGTAAGTCCCCAAAAGATTAAAACCAAAGAAGCCAGCCCCTAGTTGCTCTTGTGATGGAGAACAGTAGACAGAGGGTCCCGTGTAAGACAGAACTACCATCGCGTCAATGGGAGGGGCAGGTGTTCTGCACACCTGCTGGCTGGCAGGGTACACACCGTACCTCCACTTGGGGTTGAAGCTGTCCCGGGTCTGGGTATTCCTTAGTTTCAACACCATCATTTCATGGAGCTCCAGGAGGAAAGCATCCAGGTCTGTGTGATTCAGGAAGGTGCTGAGGAGCTTAGCACTTTCTAGGCTGAGGTCGGCTTTGAACACAGAACTGATTTCCCGGAAAGGATCCTAAAGAAGGTGAACAAGCACAACATCAGAGCCTGGGACGAGGGTGTGGCTCCCTCCATCTGGGCAGAGGCAGGGCAGACTCACTTTCTTCAGTCGCAGCAGCTGTTCCGACTTATGAGCAGAGAGGAACTGCCAGAGGGCAATAGCGTGTTTTAACTGACCCCTGCTTAAGGCCTGGAAGAGGAAGAGAGTCTTGAGTAGGAGGTGAAGGCACGCAGACTCCCTTGGTGCTACCCAGGGCATTTCTCCCTGTTTTGCCCATTTCCTGTCATGAGGCCATCTCTATCTGTCTCGTCTTCCAAATATCTAAGAGTCTCCCCTTCCTGTAGTAACTCGTGTCTCAGCATCACACAGTGAGCAGGCAGCCAATGTCCTTAGTCCCCTGTGCATCCTGCTCTAGTAGGTGGTCAGCACTGAGCATCCCTGCCTCTCCTGGCACCACTACTCTGTAGACTGACTCGGGGTGGGGGTTCCTGACCACTCCTTTCCAGGGGTATCTACATGGGTGCTCCCTGTGTGGTGGCATTCTCGCAGGAAACTTGAAAGGCACACAGGACCCACCTCTAAAACTGGAGTCGTTTGATCACCCATCCGAAGGATATCTTGGACGTACGCGTTCAGATGCATATTTGGATCCCCACCAGCTGTGCCTAGAAAGCCCAGAGTGACCTCTACAACAGACAGGGCTTCACAGGCATCGCTGTAGGACTGCAGTTGTCCACTGATGGCACCTATGGCCGAGCTGGGGAGGGGGCTCTGAAACCAAAAGCAGGACAGAGGCTTGGGTCAGGCTATTGCTTCTCCTACTTGGTAAGAGCCTAACTCTGAGCTGCCGGCACAGGCAGGCCAAATGTCCAGCACTTGTGGTAAGAGCTGATCCCTGTGCTTGCCCAGTGTGCCAGTGTACAGACTGTGTATAGGCACAGGCCTGAGCTAACTGAATCCTCCAAAGGCCCTGTGAGGATGTGGAGAGGCACAATAGCCTCTCCATCAGTTGACAGCAGAACCTAAGGAGCAGGAGAAATTGAGTTCTCCATCTGTGGCACCCTGATCAGGACATCATCAAGACAACAACCCCCAAGGCATCAGAAAGTATTATGATCTGCTTGCCACCGGCTTGCCTCTCTTCTGGAGCCCCTGGGGTCCTTTGGGAGCCAGAGAGCCTGGTGCTCACAGTGGACACCAGGATGGGACCAGACCGTCCTTATGTATGTGGGTGGAACCACCCTGCAGGTGAGGGATTATCATGACCACCTGTGCCATTTTGTTCTTGATGCCCATGAAGAGATGTTCGAAGTTCCAGTCATGTCTGTACACCAGCGTGGGTATCCCCTGAGGTGAGAAAGAAAAACAGCTTTTGGAAATTAAATTCATAGTGGAGGCTTCCATGTGATGGCAGATGTATTCTTCAGCAGTGACTCAGAGGAAGGACCAAGGCAGACAGTATATTCCTGGGCGAGGCATGTAGCTTTGCTGCCTCCTAATGCTCTGTTTAAGCCACACTCTTTGGACACAGTAGTGTAAGAAGTCCAGGCTGGCTACAGCGGCCATGCAGATATTGCCCTGTAGACCAGTGTGTCTGAGGACCACAAGAGCCCAAGAGTGTTGGAGGAGCAGGAATGGGAATGGGAATGGGCACATTGGTGAGCTCTCCAGCAACACTGAGCAGAGACCATGCACAAGGCAGCCACTGTCAGGATGAATTAAAAATGGCTTTGGACTCCAACAACTGACAGCCTGATTGCGGGCAATGAGGGAATAAATAAGCTGAGTATGACACCTGACTGGACCTGAAAGGATGAGTGCGGCCACAGACAGGGACAGTGTGGAAGTGCTACCATGTTCAGGGAGTCAAGAGGCAGGTCACGGGTTTGAAACAGCAAGTGAGGCAGGGGGTGGAGACAGCTTGAAGGTTGGTCTGGGGCCAGGTGACAGGGCTTTCTGTGCCAGCCAGGGGAGTGCAGTAGAGCCCATGTAGCACTGTCCACATAGCATGGTGCTGCAGGAAGCACTGGGCAGCTGGACTGAAGGCGGAGTGCTCTGAACTGAAGCCACGGCAGTGGCAGTTACAGGACAAGGGTGTGGGGAAGGCATGGTGGTGGTTCCTGGGCACGAGCTGCATGTGAACTGAAGGGACGGCAGCAATGACAGGTCTTCTGGGTGGTGCCAGTAACTGTGGTGGACATCCAGTCCACTGAGACTTGAGGCTGCCCTGGGGACATGTGCAGATGGGGATGTGGAAGAGACCTGGCGACACCTCCCAGCCCAGATAAAGTACAGGGACCGTAGACCACCAGTGGGGGAGATGACGCAGAGGAGACCTTAGGCGTCCCCTCCGTCTGTTCTCCTTGAAACCCACAAGGACTGTTCATGCCTGACAAGCCAATCATTGTAGAGCGCCCAGCCTACCTTGAGGGTCAGCAAGGGCTTGCCCTGGAGGAAGCGGCTGCTAATTTGCTGCTGGATCTTCTCCAGGTCGAACTCCTGTGAGGTCTTCCCGCCTTGTTCCACTTGGTATTGGCAGTTGGAGAGGATCAGTGGAATCAGGTCCCGCTCCACTTCATAGCTGATGACATGCAGGTCAGTGACCTCAGAGGCATCCACGGAATAGCTGGGGGACAGAAGATGTCCCTTGGTGTCTGGGGCAGGTAGGGGGCATGTGCTCCTGCTCCTGCCCTCATAGTGTGAGCAAGTGAAAACCATGTGCAAACACTGGGCTTTGTGGAGGAAAGCTGAGGGGGACTGGGGATGGGAGCTATTGCTGGCTGGAGTCTGCAACCAGGCTTGGTGGCAGGGGTGGTGGGATGCGCAGTACCTGTTATTTTCCTTGGAGAACTTCTCCACTGTGTGGATGATTTCATTGTGTAGGTTAATCAAGTAGCTGACTAACGCAGTTGAGCAGAGACCAAGGCCCTGACGCCGGGGCAGGACGACCTCAAAATCTGTGTCCAAATCCAAGTCGGAGCTGCAGTACTCTTTGGGTAACTTGATTTCACCTTTAAAAGACAGGGTCATTTCTAAGCAGAGGATTTTGCTTTAGGCATTTGGGTCACAGCCTGGAGGTAGGGTAGGAGGAGGGCAGTGTGGGCAGCTGCCTCCATAGAGCTAGACCCTGACCGTTAAGTTTTCAGTGGTCTCAAGTCCTTTCTGATTCCATATTTATAGATTCCAGAGGACTGAGGGTTAGGTTAGAGGCTGGTTCACGTAGCTCAGCACCTCTGTCCACAGGTTGCATTGCCAGGCATACAGCAGGGTGCTGGCAGAACCAGGTGGAGGAGGACACTTACCGTTGGTCTCCAGTGATCGCCTCAGTGCATTCCACGTGGACAGGAAGATGGAGATCCTGTTGTGGAACAGCTGCCTCAGCCCATCTATTGAGCAAGACACTTGGTAAGGTCCCCATTGGAAACAGTGCCCTGGCCAGGGTCAGACCACAAGGCGTGCTCCCGAGAACCTGACCCTGCACCTACCCAATATCAGCAGCACACCTGCATTTCACGTTTGAGGTTGTGTGAGAAGGGGTGTGTGTGTGTGTGATGTTTCTAGCCACAGCAGCAGCTCTCAGTATGTCTCTGGGATTTGGCATCCTTTTTACCTCACACTCTAGCTTAGGACATAAGCCCCACCCTTCTGCCCCAACCTGAATGATCCTTTTGTACCACCAAATATGGATGTCCCTTATCTTGTTGGAGTAGACAGCATTCATACCTGAACTGTGACTGCTAATAAAACTCCTGATGGTACTGTATTCATCTTCTGGAACATTCTGGAATTGTTTCACCAGATCCCTTTGCAGGGCCAAAATCTCAGGCAAGAATTTCACCAGTCTCAGTTCTGCCTCCTGGAGAAGGGAAGATGGCTCAGTAACACTTCCACTATGTAACTGAGAAACGACATGGGGCTTATAGACTTGGGGCAGGCTGGGGACTTTGAGTGGTTTAATCTGGTCAGTGGATTGTTTTATACGATCACACCCTGCAAATGGGAAAAGGGCCAAGTACGGAGAGAGGGCCTTTGATACGGTAAACATGCCCTGCACTCAGGGATGTAGGATGACAGGACCAAGTCCCCGCACTCCTCCAACGAAGAGCTGCTGTGAGGACTGAGCTGGGCCCCGTCTCTCAGTTTGCACAGGAATCAACTCTAGATGACCAAAGACCCAGATGTAAGACCTGACCTCTGAAGCTACCAGCAGAAAAATAGAGGGAACATTCCAAGACATTGGCACAGGCGATGGCTTTCTGGATAGAACCCCCAAACCACAGAAAGTAAGAGCAAAATGATTACATCAAAATTAAAGTCTCACACCAAAGAAAACACCCAAAGGACAGAGATAGTCTATAGAATGTGAGAAATAGCTGCCAACTATTCACCTGACAGCAGGTAAATACCCAGAATATATAACTGAAAAAAAAAAAATCAAAGTAATACATTTTAAGATGAGCAGATGATCTGAATAGACACTTCTCAAAAGAAAAAATAAAAGTGGTTAACAAATATATGAAAAAATGTTCAAATATCAATAGCCATCAGGGAAATGCAAATCAAAACTACAATGAGATGCCATCCCACCACAATTAGAATGGCTCCTATAAAAAGAAGATAGATGTGGTGGCACACACCTGTGATCCCAGCTACTCTGGAGGCTAAGGCAGGAGGATCACAAGTTTGAGGCTAGCCTCAGCAAGTTCTAGTCCAGTCTGGGCAACTTAGCGAGACTCTGTCTTTAAAAAAACAAGGGCTGGGGCTGTAGCTCAGTTAGTGAGCACTTGCCTCGCATATGTGAGGCACTGGGTTTGATCCTCAGCACCACAGAAAAATAAATAAATATTGTGTTCATCTACAACTAAAAAGTGTGGAGGGCTGGGATGGGGCTGTAGCTCAATAGTAGAGCGTTGCTTGCCTAGCATGCCCAAGGTCCTGGTTCAGTCACCACTATTCCCCAACCCGCCAAAATAAATGAGCCCCAAAACATAAAATAACAAATGTACGCACAGATAAAGAGAAAAAAGAAGTCTAATATACTCCTGGTGGCAATGTAAATTAGTACCTCATAATGGAGAACAGTATGGAGGTTTCTTAAACTAAAAAAAGGTTTACCACGTGATCCAGATAGCCCACTCCAAAGGAAGTCAGCCTATCAAAGAGGTACTACACACTGACACCATTCACAATAGCTAAGACATGGAACCTCCCTGAAGCCCATCGCAGATGAATGGATAAAGAAGATGTGGTTTATACATAATAGCTGAAAATAATTCAGCTGTAAGAAGAATGAAGCCCTGTCATTTTCAGCAAAATGGATAGAACTAGAGGACGTTCTGTTGTTAAGTGAAACAAGCCAGACACAGGCGAGATCAACACATGCTATATGCATACATGGAAATATCACAATTCCATTAATGTGTACAACTAATTAATTAATAAAAGTAAATAATTAGGGAAAAATAAAAAGAAATTTGCCTCCTAGGCCCACTTTTGGGTGTGAGGCTGCTGGAAGGAAACACCAAGACCCCAAGCAGTGGTCACTGGGTTTTGTTCTGAAGAGCCAGGATCCAGCATCCTCAGTGAAATGAAACTATGTCTTGATAAGAGATCACAACACTAGCACCAAGTCCTTCCGAGTGTGAGCACCAGACCTTTCCAAATCATTCTGCTCCCTGTCAGCTATGGTAATGACGGTCCATAAGGGAGGAGGTGAGAACATCTGCTGTGGCCCAGGAGAGCTCAAGTGGGTGAGAGCTGGGGACCACTTCTGAGCCTGGCAGTATAACTACATCATGCAGCACATGGCCTCCTCCCTGCAGGGCACAGGGAGGCCCCTGGTTGAGCAGGCACTTGCTGGTGACCATCTGCTCAACTTCTGGGGATGAAGACAAGGTGTCAGAGCTGAGTGACCAGGGTGGTCCCTCCTGGTCTTTAAGTTCCTTACAGAGCACCACTAAGCCCCCTTGTGCATATTCCACCTGTGACTTCAGCAGATGTGTCTTTAGACCTCTGCGCTCTCCCTGAATCACAGTGCTCATGGGAAGGTTAGGGTTCTGCCTCTAGGAATGATGATGACTCTGAAGCCCGTCACAGCCTCCTGGTCCTCAGGAGAAGTCTAGCAGGTAAAGGAGGCAGACTGTGAGGTGGACACACCTTCTGCAGGAACTGCCAGAGCATGGGCACCATCTCCTTGCCGTTCTTCTGCTCCACAACATGCTGGAGGTACTCGACTGTGATCTTCTTCCTGCAGCTCCAAATCTTTGAGCAATGAACCACATTTTTCTGGGGCAGTCGGGGCAGGAAGTTCGCTGGGTCACCATATATGATTTTGGCCACGGGGTTGGAGCTGACACGTTCATCCTGGCTGATGAGCGTGCTCACAGTCAGCAGGGTCTTGTCTAGATGCTGGGTAAAGAAATGACACAGCATTCTGCAAGTAGGGCACTGACCCAGAAAGCAGAGCGGACGCCACAGTGGCTCCGCAGGAGTCTGCCTCTGCACCCCAGACGCTCACTTTTGCTCTCTCTCACTGTGATTCAGGGGTTCCTTGTTCCTAAACAGAGCAGGACTCTAGGGCCTGTATCTCACCACCCTTCCCTTCCTGACTTCCCTGTCCTGCTGTGGACAGTCGGCTCTGATGTTCTCAGCGGAGCGCTCATGAATCCAGAGTGCCCGTGCATTTCTGGAGGGTCTCGGCCTCTTACTTTCACAACCTGCTGTAAAAGCAGTGGAGAGCAGGCTGCTGCCCGCCCTCTGAGAACTCCTGATAATCCTTGGCCTGACTTATGACCAGTACAGGAGGGACACCTGGGGACAGCAGGAGAAGTGACTCCAGGTAAGGCCTCTGATGGCCCTCCAGAGGACAGTGGGCCAACAGTGCTCAAATAAATGGGACCCTCCTGGACAGAGCTAAGGATTGGTCACCACTTGCCCCTTACCTCCAGTTCAGGTAGAAGAAGAGATGCAACATGTTTTTCCCAATTGTTTCTCCATTCTTTGGTTGACAGTTCTGCATCAAAATTTAAATGTCCTACAAAGAAAAAAAAATGTCTGTTACCCAACAAACAAAAAACAGCAATCTCCATACAGTAAGCACTGAATGACATTAATAGAGATAGTCTTCCTTCCTTAAGTTAACCAGGTACTGCCAACACCAGCCTCCAGACCTTGTGAGGATGCTGTAGTCTCTGGCAACCCTCCAGGCCATAGCTGTGATTTTTTTAATCTTTTTTTTTTTTTTTGGTGGTGCTGGGGATTGCCTCCTTAGTGTATAGGAGGCAAGAACTCTACCAACTGAGCCGAGTCCCCAGGTCCCTACAGCTGTGGTCCTAAAGTCATTCCAAACAAATGGCTGAGGACAGGATGAGAACTTGACAGCCACACAGAGCCAGCTCACTGCTGCCCCCAGGCCCGTAGACAGAGGTGGTCCCATGAGCTGGCAGCAGGTTAGGGCTCCCGGGTCTGTGTGCTATAGAAACCACACCACAACAGAGGCACTCGGCAAAGTTGGTCTCGCTAAGGTGGGAATTACACACTAATGCTGTTTTCTGGCAAAGACACTCTGAAGGGGAACAGATTCTCTGGTTGTAGGAACATTATTGAAATTGTAATTATCAGTAGGCTTTTAAATAACATTGTTCTACAGTGGTCATCATGATTTTTGCAGGTAAATAACAAATTGAAATCCCTCCTATTGCCACCCCGATAACCACTTACAAAGTCCCCTTGCAAACCTTTGCTTTGGGCATGGATATAAATGTTTAGAAGAGTTAGTTGGGCAAACAGTGTTTGTAGCCTCCTTTTGTTCATGTTACAAATTGTAGATGTGAATATACTAGGTCAGGGTACAAGTGTGACATCTTTGGGAAAGCAGAAGTGGGACACATGTCACTTGCTGGGGTGCAACATGATCCCAGGGCACAGGTTAAGGCTGTATGCACATGCACCAGGTGTCTGTGCTGCAGGCCTCAGTCAGGCAGGGGGTGTGTGGAGGACTGCGGTGCCCTCCAGCCCCTGCAAGAAGAGGAGAGAGCTCACTTCCACTCCTGTCACCGCTCAGCAGGAGCCAAGGGAGCCTGGCCTCCTGGGAGTCGTGCCCAGCCCTGTCCCTTGCTTACTCTGGCCAGGGAGTGAGCACTGCTCTTTGAGAAGGCAGCGCAGGATGAGGTGGACCACGTGGGTGGTCTCGTCGGCACTCTTCCCCAGTGTCTTTGTTAACTGCTTCAAGTCTCTCTGGATGTGCTGCTGCAGGAATCCTTTTGGGTCCCTCACTGGAGGCTTGATGATGTTTGTCAGGGCCTGTGGGGGCAAGGACCAGGCAGAGGTGAACACCACCCACTGGGAGGGGGTGGTTTCTAGGTGAGGCCAGGGTGCTCTCAGCATGACGCAGGCATCAGGGGACAGAAGGCAGGTGAGTGCAGTGAGAGACTGCTGACTGATGTCTTCGGGGTGTGGCGGGGAACACGGCCTTGTACCTCCTGCAGCCACCATGAGATCACAGGCAACGGGGTCCCCTGCCCTACCATGCCCAGCTGTGGGCCGAGGACAGAGCTGTGCACTCCAAGTAGACTTTAAGATCTGAATGTTACATCCTATTATACACATGCTAAGATGTCACACTGTACCCCACTAACATGCTGTGTGTCAGTTAAATAATACAGATTTTGAAAAATACAAAATGAAGTGGAGTTTCCATAATCTGATGAGTAGTTGCCGCAGTGGAAAAAGTGGGGTCTGTAACTCTTGGAGCACTCGTGGACTAGCTAAAACCCCCAGGGGCTAGGACTTGGCAGACAATGGACTGATGCAAGGGCAGCTGGCTCTTCCCATAGCACCTCGGAGTCTGGCGGTAGCGTCCTGTACCTTGGGACTTTGGGTGGCTCCCAGAAGCATAGCCAAATGAGTGAGTAGCCGGATGAGGATGAAGACCACGGGCGACAGCTCTCGGTCAGACACCACTACGACACCTCTGTGCTGCGGGTGGCCCAGCACATGGCCAGTCCTGGTTCTGTCTGTGTTGGCTCTGGAGAGGATAAGAGAAGGCAGTGAAGGCTAGAGACAGCTGCTTCTCCTCAGCTGCAGGGGCCGCGCATCTTACAACCAGGTTCCCAGTTTGTTTTGTTTGTTTTTTGTTTTTGGTACTCGGGATGGAACCCAGGGGCTCAACCACTGAACCACATTGTCAACACCCACTTTTTTACTTTTTGAGACAGGGCCTCACTGAGTTGCTGAGGCTGCTTTGAATTTTTGATCCTCCTGCCTTAGCCACTGGGATACAGGTGTGCCCCACCATATTTCCAGTTTTTTTTTTTGTTTTGTTTTCCAGTGCTGGGGATTGAACTCAGGGCCTTGGGCATGCTAGGAAATCACCCTACCAACTGAGCTATACCAACCCCTAGGTTTCTAGTTTTAAAGAAATACTAGATATTCTACTCGCCTACACCACCTGCCTCAAGTCCTTCTCTCTTTACACCCATCTGGCTGGCTGGCAGGCTGGCTGGCCAAACCCTACACATTCCCAGTGTTAAGTAGCTGCACAGTGTGGCCATTAGTGCAGGCTGTCAGGATGGAGGGCAGGATGGAACCCAGGGCCTTGTGCGTGTGAGGCAGGCACTCTACCAACTAAGCTGTATCCCTAGCCTTATATTTTTATTTTTGAGACAGGGTCTCACAGAAGTCCCCAGCTGTGTTCAAACTTTTGATCTTCCTGTCTCAGCCTCCAAAGTAGCTGCGATTATAGGCTTGTACCACTAGCTGAAGGTCACAATTTTATATGGTTTCTGAGTCTGGTACAGTGGGCTGTCCTTATCTGTGGATTCAACCAACTGTGAATCAAAATTTTTCAGAAATGACTATGTCTATACTGAATAGTAACTTTTATTCTTCTTCTTATTTTCTATAAAGTATTATAAATGAGTATTTACATAGCATTCACTTTGCTTGAGGTATAATAAGTAACCTAGAGATAATATTTTAGAAGTCTATAGTAAGCCGGGCACAGTGGTGCACACGTGTAATTCCAGCATCTTTGGAGGATCACAGTTCAAACCCAGGCTCAGCAACTTAGCAAGGCCTTAAGCAACTTAGTGAGACCCTGTCTCTAAATAAAATATAAAAAAGGGACTGGGCCTGTGGCTCAGAGGTAAAGCGCTCGCCTACCATGTGTGAGGGTGGATTTGATTCCCAGTACCACATAAAAATTAAATAAAGATATTGTGAACACCTATAACTAAAAAATAAATTAAAAAAAAATATATATATATGGCTGGGGATGGGGCTCAGTGGTTAAGACCTGTGTACCCCCCCAAAAAAAAAGTCTACGGGATGATATTTGTAGGTCACATACAAGTACTGTGCCACGACATATAAAGGATCTGATCACCTGGAACTGAGTAGATGTGGAGGGCAGTGTCCTGGGAATAGTCCCCACAGAAAACATAGGGAGGGATGGATGTACTTGATAAGACTGATTACATGTGTCTTTTACTTTTCGCAAATTAAAAAAAAAGAAAAAAAGAAAAACAGGGCTGGGGAGTAGCTCAGTTTTAGAGCACTTGCCTGGCACATGAGGCCGCAGGTCCCGTCCCTAGCACTGAAAGCAAAAAAAAAAAAAAGCCAAAAACCAAAAGTGACTGCAGGTGTGCTTGATGTGACTCCCCAGCACAACCAGGGCGCAGATGTGCAGCAGTGGACAGCCCAGAGCCCCAGCCTCTGAGGGAGGGAAGCTGAGTCCACATACCTGATGCTCAGGAAGCCGGCGTGAGGTCTGTGGTCGACACCTCCGATGAGAGCACCGCAGTCAACACAGGAGCCCTGCTCCATCGGCATGCCACACTGGGACAGAGAGGGGACCCACAGTGAGCTTCATGGCATACATAGAAGCCACCCTGCACAGGAGGTGGCCTGTGCTGCTGGGACTGCATCTGTGCGTATGTGTGTCAAGGAGGAACAGGAGCCTGGCGACAGGGTGGGCACTTAACCAAGTGTGCTATCCAGCGGCAAAGGTGGCTTTATTTAAAAATAATCAGCATGACAGTTTTTCCTCCCAAGTAGAGTGACAAGTGTGCACAACCCGGCTCCCATCCTCACACTCACCACCTCTCTCTCCCTACATCTTGCACACCAGCCTCCAGACCTCCTCACCCACTGGAAAGAACCCAAACACCTAACCACAAGATCTGCCCCTACCAGGTCTGGGGATATGGCTCAAGTGGTAGCGCGTTCGCCTGGCCCCGTGCATACCAGGTGTGCTTGATGTGACTCCCCAGCACAACCAGGTTCGATCCTCAGCACCACATAAGAATAAAATAGATGTTTTTATAAAAAATAAATATTAAACAAAAAAAAATTCCTCTCTCTTAAAAAAAAAAAAAAAGATGCCTCTACCAAGAGCCCATGTTTCCAAGTCACAGGGTACCACGCCACATGTGAACCACAACCACAGCAGACCCTTCACTGCAGGCTCTCAGAACAGAGATGTCCTGGAACCTGTTCCTAACTCACTTCACAACAAGGAAGTGAGTAGGTTCAGGAGGTGAAGTGTCTCCTGTTCACTTTATGGAGCAGCACACTTGAATCCAGTCCAGCAGCCTGTTGCTCAGCAAGCGCAGATGCCATGAGCAGCCCAGAGACGCCCTAGAGTCCTGGAAGAGCAGCATCCACTCTTCCCCCAGGGCTCATCACTCACGCCCCTGAATCTTTCCTGTCCTCGCCTGTCCTTTGGTGTCTAGCCCACACTTTCTTTCTGGCTGAAGGTCTGTGTGGCAGGGCCAGGGAGGGAATGGGGCTCCCAGCCAGCAGCACCATTGTATCCCAGGGACTTGGGCAGTGCCTGTAGATTCACTGGTCCAGGAAGTGCTGCTACTGGTACCCAGTGAGCCGAGGTCAGGCATGCTGCTAAATATCCTACAATCCAATAAAGACCTGCAGTAAGAATAATGTCCACAGTGCCATTTAAATGCTCAGTTGGAACACCATGAGCAGCCCCCAGAATGAGCCTGTATCTCCCAGAAGGTCAAGACACTTATTCTCTGCACCCTTCCACTTCGGATGAGAATGCACATTTTGAGCCTCCCCCAAATACCAAGACTCACCTCTCCGACAGAGCACGGATGACCGTTGGGACAACCTGTTCAAAGGACAACAGGACACATGTTAACTAGTTAGCCTCCACCAAACGACCTATGTGGGAAGGGGAAATTGCTGCCCTCCTCTCTGTCCCTGACCAAAAGGACCCACAGCCTTCGTCCTGAGCTCCTCACCAGAATCCTTGAGCCATGCCATCAGCTAAGTTACTAGACATGTTCCTGGAGCTAACTGAATTCGTGCCACCAGTGAAAAGTGCCTGACCTTGGCTTTACACAGCAGAGAGGTGAGATTCACACACCAGGGCCACCTGGTGGCAGAGGGGACAGTGTTTTGTAACTGTCTATTCCCTTGGATGTTTTTTTTTGGCAAAACCATGTTTTATAACAATTTTAAAAACTAGTTATTGGGGGCTGGGGATGTGGCTCAAGCGGCAGCGCACTCGCCTGGCATGCATGTGGCCCGGGTTCAATCCCCAGCACCACATACAAAGATGTTGTGTCCGCTGAAAACTAAAAAATAAATATTAAAAAATTCGCTCTCTCTCTCTAAAAAAAAAAAAAAAAAAAAAAAAAAAAAAAAAAAAAAAAAAAAAAAAACCCTGGATTATGACTGCTTTTGAATGAGCCTCAGGATGGTCCCCAGGTCTCCATTCTCCCAAATGACATTTTCTGGAGAGCAACAATGCAGCCCAAAGGTTTTGTCCCATGACAATGCAGGAAAACGTCATCTAGCCAGCAAACTATGTGGCTCTCAAGCCACATGGCTCTGCCAATTGCCAAAGGCAGGAGGAGGCAGGTGACTTGGGCCTTCAGCAGAACCCTATGAAGCCCAGGACCAACCCCAGGTCTGGCATGATCAAAGGATGCTCTTATAAGCTGCAAAGCGTGACCCCTTCAGACACCAGTACTCACTGTACCAGCGGACGCCTTCCAGACCCCTCCACTTCTGGGCTTGAGCTAGCAGGTCTTCAGGCATCGTTGGGAGAAAAGCATTCTGAAAGACCAAGAGCAGAAATTGCCCTCCTAAGCAGGCATGTTGGCTGTGGCTGCTAACCAGGAAGAGGCACACAGTGAGGAAGTTTCTACTCAGCTCGAGAGCTGTTTACAGAGGACGTACAGCAACTTCATGTGAAATGACAGCCATGGCACCAGCACTGTGCTGAAGAACCAAGTGGGGCAACAGTGCAGAGAATCTAGAAGATGGACAGGTTTGACGGTTCCCATGGCCACAGCTCATGTTGTCATGTTGGCTGGATCTCCCAACGTGACAAACCACTGAAGTTTCACAGGGCTGCTTACCACCATGCTGGCCGGGGAGAAGGCCAAGTTCCTCAAAGGCGCCAAGATTTCGCTCTGTCCACACAGAAGGACAGCTGCAGCATGAACAGCCATTTCTGTCACTGTTCCTTCAAGGCTCTCGTCACCAGGGCCCGTGCTCAGCAAGGGCAGACTGTGGTCCACGAGGGATGCTGCGAAAGGCCTGACCCCCGGAGGAGACAGGACCCTGCTGTCTTCAATGAACCGGCTCACAGCCTCGCACTGCTGGCTCAAAAGACATTTTTCACATTAGGGTATGTCAAAGAAGAGCGCTGCGTGAATTCAGGGTTTTCTCTTTGAAAGTCACACATTTCAGTATTGAGTACTTATCAAATATCAAGGTAAATATAGTTAAATGATCACCAAAGGAGGGTAAATTAATCAGGAAAGAGAAAGTTCAAGGCTGGGGTTGTGGCTCAGTGGTAGCGTGCTTGCCTAGCATGTGTGAGGTACTGGGTTTAATTCTCAGCACCACATATAAAACAAATAAATGAATAAAGGTCCACTAATAACTCATAAAAATTAAACAAGAACAAAAAAGAGAATGTTCATATAGAAACACAATAACCACATTCTTGAGTACAGATTTCAATACTCTGTTTTGGTAAACATTATGTAATGTTCCTGAGTCTATAAGCTTTGGGTTAAACAGAAAATAGTTCTTCCACATAACAAGGGTACACCCTCTGTCCTATAAAGGAAGTTTTGGAAGGTCATACTTCCTATTATCCTAGATGCAAATAAAAGTTATGACTTTTACTGTGCTCAGAAAGTCCTTCCCAATCATGAGACTAAGTGCAAGCTCCAGCATGTCACTCACCTCTGGCTTAGGGTGGAGGTCCTTGTTGTGGGAGCAGTGGAGAGCAGCCACTTCTCGGTACAGCACCAGCAGCAGGTAGACCACCTGTCGAGGTCTGTTCCTGCAGACCTGTGGACGGGATGTGGAGCGAGTATTCAGAAGCTCCACAGCACTACCTGGAGCAGCCTTCCCAAGGCCATGCACCAGGGCCTCCACACACACGCCGGGGGCTGTGCGTCCATGAGGCATGCTCAGGTTAATCAGGCAGCCTCGCCGGAGGAACAGAAGTCGGCACCTGTTCCCCTCCAGCTACCTCACTGATCTTAGCAATGTTTCCTGAGAAGAGACAGCATTTTCTATTTTCTCTTCCCAGCACAAGGCCAGGATAAAGAGTGACTCAAAAAGGAAGCAAGACCCGAATAAGTTAAAGGTGACAATCCTGGGGCTTGGTGGAGAGCACTTATGTCGTGCTCTTTTTTTTATAATGTGAGCACCACATAAAAAAATAAATAAAAAAATAAAGGTATTGTGTCCATCTATAACTAAAAATACTAAGAAAAAAACCAGAATCCTAAAACCCTGTATTAATATCAGAATAGACACATAAGCATATACATGGATTGTGAATCCACATAGCTATGGATTTGGCTAATAGTGCTGACATCTTTCACTCACAATAATCCTGTAGAAAATTATTTCTCAGCAAGGTCTTAAAGAGATAATGCACATAAACAAATAAAAAGGAAGTGGCTGATGGCCTTGGCAGGTGCAGCAAATGTATGAGCCCAGCTCAGTTGCTGCTGCACTACTGTTCCAGCCATTAGTTCCCCCATGCTGGCCAGTGCACCATGCAGACCATGGCCATATGCCTCCTGGCATGCAGTGTGATTCTAGGGGCCGTTCAGAGGCCCTCTCCATCACACCTGCATCCTTGAACATAACCAGAGAAGATGGGGCACAAGGGTCCCCTGGCAGCAAGGGAAGCTGCATGCCATCCTACCGTCAGAGCAGCCTCGAGGCTGGGGGCCTTGCCCTTGAGCATGGCTTTGCCCACCGCGTCACGAAGTGCCTTGTATTCATCCCCATGCACCAGGTATCGGTCCATCTGGCCCGTGTGGTCCTTCTGCAGCCCAAGAGCAGGGGGTTAGTCACAGTGGGATGGGGTGGGATGTTCTGTAAGAACCCTTCTCCACAGGCAACGCAAGGCACGAGGCACCACTGGAGGCTAGAGGCAGCTGAGCTGGGTCACCCTGTGGGGCCTGCGCAGGACACTCCTGGGGTCTTCAGGAGCACGGCCTTCACAGGGACAGAGAGCCTGGGAAGGAGGCAGGCTAACCCTGGAACTGCTTGCTTTCTGTATATATAGCACCATACCAAGCGAGGTGACAAAACATATCATTCTGAGTCCCACGTGGTCATGCTAAAAATGCCTAGAGGACTGGGGCTGCAGCTCAGTGGCAAAGTGCTTGCCGAGCATGCGTGAGGCACTGGGTTTGATCCTCAGCACCACATAAAAATTACCAAAAAAAATAATAAAGGCATTCTGTCCATCTACAACTACAACAACAACCACAACAACAAATGTCTGGAGTTTCAGTGCCATTTTGTGACCCCCAGGACAGTAAGAATTTACCAATTTCTGAGCACTAGGAGCTGAGAAAGTCAAACCCATGGCAATTATCTCTCAATTCTCACCGGCCTCTGCCTGGCAGAGAGCCCAAGACACCACCTCTAAGCTGAATCTCCTTATAATTTGCTGGAAGCAAATATTTAAAAATACTCATTCACTTTCTCTCGTCTAATTCAATTAGAAGTGAAGCCTGGGTAAGCTGCAGGTGAATGAGAAACACTTGTAAGTGAGCACCCACACGTGTCCATGCCTATCTTTGCTCTCCAGTACATGGCCTAAACCCACGTTGAAGCAGAGACCAAGGACCAGATAGATGCCTGCCAGTGCCCTCCTGTCGTGAGGACTGGGAGGTGGGGCAGGGTGGGGAGTGGTGCCCGAAGCTTGCCCGCTCTGCCAGGGTCCTGCCCTCACCTGCTGTGCAATGACTCCCTTGGGAAACACCCACTGGTACTGACGGCCCTGCCTGGAGAGGCCCTGCACAAACTCCATCCCACGCAGGCTCGCGAGCCTCCGGACCAGGTACACGCGGTGCCAGTCGTTCCCCGCTCGGGTGCAGAACTGCTCGACGTGCCGCAGGTAGCACTGCTGTTCCTCAGCCAGCTCTGAGAATGCAAGGACAAAACTGGTCAGGGACTGGGGACTGAGGCCCTGCTTCTAGGGAACTCAGTAAAACACACTCAAGAGAGGGGAACATGGAAAGGGTCAGCAGGACCCTAAGGAACTGTCCAACTTGTCTAGGCAGAGCCAACTTCTCCCAGGTAGGGAAGACCTGCCTGAGCCCTCCTGAAGCTCCAAGAGGAGGTCAGAAGCCCTGTCCAGACACAGGCGGGTCCTGGCCACCTCCTGCAGGTACTCTACAGACGCCGCAGTGGCAGGTCCTTGGCCTCGTCTCCCCGAGGAGCAGGTCAGGAGGAAACGGCCTTCCTCCCTCAGGCACTGGAGTTCACTCTGTGTGCAGGCAGCGCTGGTCTTCTCCTGAATTGAATCCTGAGGAACAGAGAACAAGAAAGAAAAGAATATTATGCTTTTTAATAGGCAAGTCTCTGACCTTCTGAAATTGCTGGGAGAATTAAAGGGAAGATAAAGACCGCCATTGTAGAGCAGAGTATAAATTTTTTGGATCATAGAAAACAATTGGAAAAAGCAAACCTGTAAAGGAAAAAAAATGTACAATTTAAGATAAAAAGAAGAAATCCACATGTGTTAATGATGTTTAGAAGAGTGGCTTTGTTTTATATTCCTGTAATTCGCAGAAGCCTAGTTTAACAGAAGTCAGCTGACTTCCTTCATCTGCTTCTGATGCCACATTGAGGCATATGAAGGAATAAAAATATGAAGAAAATAAAAATAAAAAGGATTCATGATCTCACCAGCTGGGGACAACCCTGGCTAACCCTGTGGCACAGTCATCTAGGCTGCGGTTCCTTCTGCTTTACACAAACGTGCGCACGACTGTCAATAGTTACGTACTGTTTAACAACAGGATACCTTCAAGAAACGCATCCTTAGGGGATTTCACCGCCCGGCAAATGTTGGACAGCTTTACAGGCTAGGTGGAGATCTCACATACCACCAGGGCGGTGTATGACGGTGACAGAAATGTCACCAAACAGCTCCTGACATGTGTGTGACACTAAGGACAGAGCAATGTCTTTGAAACTTTTTTCTTTTTCCACGTGGGAAAGAAACATCTGTTAATCGCACTGAGTAAAGCTACATCCTGTCAGTTTTCAGAAATTCTGCCACTGAGTAGACCACATGGTTCAGACAGTTTGCAGAAGCAGAGCGACGAAGCAGCGGCCGGCTTACCTCCAGGCAGTTGATGAAGAGCATGTACAGTTCGGTCTTGTCTTCAGTGATGAACGCCTTCTTCTCTAACAGGGACAAGTAGGCCTGGATGTAATCTTTCACTGCATCGAAGCTGTGGAAAGAGCAATATTATTTCTGGTTATATCAGGATGGCAGAATCACCCTACACAAAAGAACATCTACTAACCAATCATCTGCCCATCTATTTTTCCCTGTGTGTATAAAGGTATAATACATACATATGGGAGTATATAGATTTAACAGCTTTTTATTAAAAATGTTGTCAGAGTCTCGGAGGAATATGGAATTCCATATTGCAGACCAGCTGTTCTTAAAATTCATTGAGAACTGCAGACAATTTTTTGTTTATTTAGGTCAAATCTTTCAATGTTTATGGTACTAAAAATTAAAACTGAAGTTTCAAGAGTATTTATTAATTCATGTAAGACAAAAAGAATAAACCCCCATGTTCTTGGAAGCCTAGTTTAACAGAAGTCAGCTGACTTCCATCACCTGCTTCTGATGCTACATTGAGGCATATGAAGAAAATCTGGCCTTACAGACGATATAGTTGGAAAAGGAGAAAATGTTTAACAGTCCTTGCATATATTTGGGGCTATTCTTTTTCAATACTGTACCAACCCTTGAAAAGTGATCATTTCTCAAAGCTGGTTGTGGGGCCTGAGACCACACCAGTTCTGTTTTCACTTTCAATTATGTGACACCCACACAGTCTACTCTGCTGTGGATTGTTCCCAGTGTTACAGAAGGAACCCAGGGCTTCCCTGGGGGCTAGTTAAAGCCGTACGACTGAGCTGCATGCCTAGCTGCTGGATCATTTTTGACACACATGATTCTGTGACATTAGGCATTGGTCATTTGGAAAAGCCTTGGTTTGCTGAGCAAGGCAGATCGTGAGAGGTTGGCATCTTTTTTCTATGACCTGTTGTTGTAGATACCTACCTATATTCATTAACCTCACTACAGATCTGTGGTCTGGTAGTCATTGGTTTAGGCAAAATGGCGAGGCCTGAGGGTAGCAGCCACTCTAAACCGGAGACCTTTAGGAGTGGCATTCTTTGAGATAACCACTCTCCTCTGCTATGCAGCTGGAGTGCTTCTGGTCTATTTCCTGCTGCTACACAACATTAAAAATTGCAAACTTAATGGTCAAGATTTAGTGACTCCCATAAGTGAAACTGGGATTTTAAAAATTACATGTTCAGGGGCTTAGACTGTAGCTCAGTGGTAAAGTGCTTTCCTCCCATGTGTGAGGCACTGGGTTCAATCCTCAGCACCACATAAAAACAAATAAAGATATTGTGTGTCCATCTACAACTAAACAAATATTTTTAAAAACATGTTCACAGTGGAGAAGTAAACCATGACTCTGGTTATAATTTCCTTCATGCAGAGAGGCCCACAATTCACCCATCACTGCTTTGGCAATGGCATCACATGGCAAATTACTGTCTCACTTTTTTAAAATATATTTTTAAATTGTAGATGGACACCATGCCTTTACTTTGTGTGTTAATTTTTATACAGTGCTGAGGAGCAAACCCAGTGCCTCACACATGCTAGATAGGCACTCCACCACCGACCTTCAACCCCAGCCCCACTTAGTATCATTTTTAAAAATTCAGCTCAGGGACCCCTTCCCCACCAAAGAGTCCCACCATCACTCTGAGAACTGAAGCCTGATGAACACACAGGATCAGCTTGCACAACAGGACAGACACCATGTTTGGACAACACGGACCGCCCATCTAACCAAGAAAACACAGAGCCCATGCGCCGTGGAACTGGACTTGGAGGAAGCCAAGGGTGAAGGAGGTTCTGAGTTACTCCCCCACAAATCATACTCTGGGGTGGGCTGTGGAGCTAGGGTCAGAAACACCCCTCTGGATGCAGGGGTTCTGCATACTTTACCACGCCGAGGACCCCCCCCCCCAGCACTCTGTCTTCTTGCTACCTACACGCCCTCGGCCAGGGCCAAATCACATGCCTCCCGGGGACAGTGTCCATACATAACCATGAGCTAGGACAGGTGGCAGCACGAAGACCAAGCATGGCGCACCCAGAGAAGCCAAGGCCCTGGAGAAGCACGCGCTCAGGGAGCCGCTCCCACCTGTACTTCAGGAGCAGCTTCAGCACCACGGAGCGAATGACGGGAGTCTTATCCACGGCATCGTCAAATGGCGAGAGAGACTTCGTGTGTTCCCGGTGTCCTTAGCCAGAAAGAAAAAGATGCTTTCGCTCATATCATGGCACCAAATGGAGAGGAACTGAATCTAGGTTTGAAGGAAGAAAGCAACTCACGTTGGGGAGCATCTCTCAAGAGCTCCTTCTGCACGAAGAGTAGAGACAGCAGCCCATCAATCACGCTCTTCTGAGGAGGGGTATTGTCTTTGAAGCATACAGTAGAAACCAGGTCCACAAAGAAACTGTTGCACATCTGCCGGAACTGGGCGTGTTTCCCAATGGCCACCCTGAGGAAATGGTAGCAAACCCAGTCAGAAGGCTCAGAGAGCGTGTTCCCAAATCCCTGCATGCAGAATGATTTGAGATTCAGACATCTGATTTTACGCCATCAGATTCAAGTGTCCACTGCCGTTGATCTTTGCAACTGCAGACAGCATCTACACATATCTCCTCCAAGAACAGCTCCACTATTGAACCAGCCCAAGCATGTCACAGAACCCCTCGGTTGGGAGGAAAGATGGAAAACCACCACTGGTGGAGCAGGACCGCGGTCTGAAGCGCACAGCGCTATGGCTCTCTTCCCTACCCCCAGAGGCTGGGCAGAGAGGTTGTGTGGCTTTGTGGTAGAGGGCTTACTTGCCAAGCACGCACCAGGCCTGGGCTCCACACGGCACCTGTCACCCACGCAAAAAGGAGGACAGAGAAGCTGGTTTCTCTCACGGGCTGCATTTCATATTGTCTGAATTTTGCTGTCTCAAAATCTTGCTGGACATGTGATATCTTGGAGAGACAGGGATTCTGAGGCACCCAATGTCTAAGAAGTGCTCAAGTGAGAGCCTCACTTTAGACAGCTCTCCAAAGCCAGGCTTTTACCAGATGGAAGAAAAATTGAAGTTCTGAGTATTATTTGAAAAAAAGGATAGAGAAAAGAGGAAGACTTTAAAAGAGATTGAGTGTTTTACCTGTGCTCTTGGGAAACTGTCACAGAGAACTTGTCAGGCAGGTCGGTTAAACAGTAGGGGCAAATCATCTGCCCGGGGACGAGCCAGCTCTTGATGCAGGGCAGGCAGTACGCATGGTCACAGGGCAGACACACAGGGTCCTGAGCATCTCCCAGGCAGATGGGGCACGGCTGCACTCCAAACCTGGAATCCAAGCAGGCGATGGGCCAGGCAGACGCTGGCCTGGAGCACCAGGGCCCCCCAGGGCCCCCGAGGGGCAGCGCTCCCACCCCCCTGGAGCCCAGACCCTCTCACCTGGCCAGGCTCTTGCTGGCTTGCTCCTTGCACTCGCAGAGTGTGGTCATCACAGCCATAAAAGGCCTCTGGGTCTTGAGGTTGGAGTTCTCTTGAAGACACTGGAGAAGAAAGTCCTGGTGAGAGGCGGCACCCAGCGAGGGGGAGCAGGGGTCCCCCAAGTCAGCTTTGCCCTCGGGCAGCCCAAGGCCTCAGGGGATCTTCGAATGTCCCAGGCTGTCTACTCTCTGTGGCCTGCTGCTTTTTAAAAACAAGGACTAAATTACCAGGTCTCTTCTCCGCTCCTCCTTTCGGGTCTACCCCCTTCCCTCATCTGGTGTTTTCAAACATTAAATAATAACGTCATGGCCTTGCAGACACACCATTAAGCTTTAAGAGACCTGGGCAGGTTTTGAAGATTTACGTAGACCTTGATTGGTTGGATGGGTGATTGATTTAGAGACAGGGTCTGGCTGTGTTTTCCAAGCTGCTCTCAAACTCCTGGTCTCAAGCGGGGACTACAGCTGTGCACCACCACCCCTGGCTAGAGCATGTTTTAAAAGAACGTCACATGGAGACCCAGTGTGGCTGCACGGCCGCCCTTCTGGTCAAGTCCCCTCCACTCCCAGGTAACCACACGCCTAAGCTTTTCCTCTGAGGGCACAGGCACCTGTGTCATCACCCTGCCACTGTCCTGCATGTTCTCCTTTAGACCCAGAGGCCTGGGAGGCCCCACTGCAGGCTTGCTTCTGCGACTTCCTGGTCGGCTGCTCAGCTGCAGCTGACGGGTGTTAACTACTGTATGGCCGCCCCCACGACTCTTCCAGATTCCTGTCATGGGCATTCAGTGTGTGCTGGGGCTTCTCAACTCTGAACTGTGAGTGCTTCACTAACAGTCTTGGGTACATCTGCTTCAGTAAACACAGGAAGTTGGGCTGGGGAGCACTTTCCTAGCATGCACGAGGCCCTGGGTTCCACCCTAGCACCACGAAATAAATCAAAGTGTCTCTAGGACACAGTTAGAAATGCACATCTCCAGCAGTGCAGGGCAGTGATCTCATGATTCAGCCGCTGTTTCTGAGTTTGTGCTCAGGCAGGATGTTGGTATAGACATTCCTACAGGAAGTTTCTTAAAGGGTAGTTCCTATTTCGACTTTGCATAGGGTATTTTTTAAAATCATAAATCATGTCAAATATTCTGTCTAGCTTTTGAAGTTATCATTTAGAGATAACTTTTTAGCTTATATCACTGATGACATTTATAGATTTTTTTGAGCCATCCTTGAATTCCCAGGATTGATCATACTTGAAAATGATGTGTGTTTTATCCTGATAAACTTGATTTGTTAAGTAACAGCCCAACTCAGCAGCAGGCAAAAGACTTAGACATTCTTCAAAGACACATAAATACCAGAGACGTGTACGACAGTGGTCCTCTTCCTGCATTGGATACAGCCCTTGATGCTCTAAAGCAGGCTTATTTTTCTCTCCTCCCTCATCTTAGGGAAAACAGGATTCCTTTGAATGGCTCTTTAAAAACCCTCTGGTCCCATATCACTCCAGTCAGAATGGCAATTATCAAGAATATAAGTAATAAAAAACGTGGGTGAGGACTGGGGTTGTGGCTTAGCAGTAGAGCACTTGCCTCGCATGTGTGAAGCACTGGGTTCCATCCTCAACACCACATAAAAATAAATAAATTAAATAAAGGAATCATGTCCATCTACAACTAATAAAATAATATTAAAAAAATGTGGGTGAGGTTATGGGGAAAAAGGCACACTCAGACATTGCTGGTGGGACTGCAACCACTCTAGAAAGCAGAAAACTTGGAATCGAATCACCATTTTACCCAGTTATCCCATGCCTCAGCATATACCCAAAGGACTTAAAATCAGCATCCTACAGTGACACAGCCACATCAATGTTTATAACAGCTCAATTCACAATAGCTAAACTATGGAACCAATGTAAGTGCTCTTCAGAAGATGAATGGATTAAGAAAATGGGTAGGTACACATTATGGAATATTACTCATAAAGAATGAAATTAAGGGATTTGCCAGTAAATGGATGGAAACGGAGCCTATCATGCTAAGTGAAATAAATCAATCCCCCAAACCAAAGGCTGAATGTTTTCTCTGATATATGCTGACGCTGACTCACAATAGGTGGGCAGGGTGGGGGTGGGGTAGTGGAGGTTCACCAGATGAGATAGGTGGAAGGGAGGGGAATAGGAATAGGAAAGACAGTAGAGTGAATCGGACACCACTTTCCTACGTTCGTATGTGAGTCCACGGCCAGTGTAACTCCACATCGTGTTCAACCATATATGTCTGATAGGTCAGAATGCACTCTACTGTGACATACAACTACAAAGAATGACAGCAACAAAAAACAGGGGGGAGCACTCTGTTTTTGGGGAGTCACACCTTCTGGGACACAGTCGCTGTGTTTCTCTTTTGCTATTTATTGCAAAGCAATAAAATGTCTTTTTCCAGTTTCAAAAAACGCAAAAACAAAAACAAAAACCTCTCAAGTTCCGTGGTCCATTAGCACACTCTGTGAAAGGTCTCCTGTGCTTTCCAGCTAGACCAGGAACTTAGTTCAGGGCGATGAAACATGAGCTGGAGCGTGCGTGGGTCCTGGGTGCAGCTCAGGGGCCAGAGCCAGCCCGCATGTGTGAGGCCCTGGGTCCCAGCCCGGACAGCCACAGGCTCCACAGCAAGAACAGCCTTCGAAGACCAGCAGCTGGAAGGTGGTTGTTGAGGAGGCCAGAGGGGCAAGCAAGAAGCAGTGTGGGCACCTGACCCTGGGAGTGAGCAAGGCCTGGCCTGCACAGACCATCCTGCACAGGGCCTCGGACAGTCTGGAAAAGCCGGGGTGCGCTGGCACTTGGCACCTATCTATGCCAATCTCCTCTTAGAGCATCTGCCTGCATTCAAAGGCTGCACACCTGTCTGCAGTGGCCTTTCACAGACACCCTGACAGAGGGCACTAAGGAGGCCAATGGCCTTCTACCCACAGGGGGTACACAGGACACAGTCACAGGACCAAAGTCATGTTGTGCTGAGTGGCCATTGTTGCTAGACAGCCTGGCCACAGAGATGGTGGCTTTCTCTGGTACTGGAAGCAGAGGCTCAGTGGTCTTCTGTTCCCATAGTCCCACTGATTACTCCAAGGTCATCCTAGAGGTCGGTGGAGCCCATTCCTTTAGCCCTTGCAAAGCATCCACAAGCAAGTTCCAGACAAAATACGTGCATTCCCTATGCTGCTAGGTGAGAGCCCAGCACTGACCTGCATCCCACCAAGAGATGTGCCCAGTGCTCACCTTGTCCAGTGAGAAGACGTACTTGGTCACCAGCTGGCACAGCTCAGGAATCTGGCTCTCAGTCCCCAGGAGCACGTGCTCCACAAAGAGTGCGAGGGGGAAAACCCGATTCCACTGGGTCCTGTAAAGGAGGGTGTCACACTCAGCTCTGGCAGAGGACTCTGAGACAGGAGGAGGAGACGAGAGGAGAGGGCAGGCTCCAGGCAGCGGAGGAAGGTGAGCTGACAGGAGGGGTTACCCCCAGCCCTGCCCTCAGCAGTGCTCCTAGCAAGCAGGACTTGGGGTCTCCCTCTGCTGCCTCAGCACACACTGCCACTGGGCCGGCTCTCAGTCCCGGGCACAGGTTGAAATGCCCTCAACCCTGAAGGCCTGCCCCTCTGCTTGCCCTGCCCGCCGTGTCCTTCCACTGGCTCCCTGCCACCACTGTAGTTCAAGGTGCAGCTTAGCAACCTGCCAGTCTTTTTGGGCCCCGGGGCACCACGGCCTATCTGCATGTGGCTCTCCTGTCTCCAGCACCTGTCGACAGGCTTCGTCAAGGCACAGTGAGTGCACAGAGCCCCCCTGTGTCCGAAGCATGTGCCCACCCTGCTGCTAAGTGCCTCTTGACCTGGAGTCCATGAGTGAGCACAGGCCCAGCGGGCCAGGGACAGGCGGGCCCCAGGTCTCACCTGAGCTCCGCAGCGACAGCTCTGGCCACGCTCCCGCTGCCTTGCAAGTACCCGTCGGAGCACACGAGCTCCAACGGCATGGCCAGCTTCCTCACCAGCTGCAGCCAGGCCTGGGCACTCGGCTTCAGGGTGTCTCCCGTCAGCATTTCAGCACAGGCCATGGCAGCCAACACATCCAGTGTCTGGGAAGAGGACAGCGCTCGTGTGACCCTGTGGGATCCCCGCCCTCCACCCACCCTCTTCTTTGCCTGTGGCTCCCACGCCCCTGAAGGGTCTCCTTTGCTCCTGGGGATGGGCCAGGGCCTGGGCCTCCCACAGGGCCGTCCTACCATTTCACTGCCAACGATGTCGTGCTTCTGTGCCGCTTCAGTGAGGCTCTGCAGAACCTGTGGGTGGGTGGTCACAATTCTGGAGAAGTTGTGCAGGCGCGTCCTGAAATGCTGATAGGCCAGGTGCACCCATGGCAAGCAGAGCCTGTCCTCCGGCCTCCCTGAGGCTGCTCGCAGCTCACAGACGCAGGACCACAGGGCCATCTGCAGAAACTGGGGTTTCGAAGGGTTTTAGTATGCATTATAAAGAGATGTTTTACTGCGGGAAATCAGAACTATTCAAAAAACCACGGAAAAGAAAAAATTACAAACCAGACTTCACATCTCCCTACTGCTTTTCAGTAGAGCCTCTGGCCATTTTCCTAGCTACGCCTTAGAATCATCCACAGATCAGGATCTGAGGATTTTTCCACTCAAGATTAGACTAGGAGAATTACTCTATCACTCGTTACTTGTGGAACACATCATTTTCAATGGTTGCAAAACGACCATTTTAAAGTGGCCATACTTTAGTTTGTCCCTCCGTTGTTTATTTGGACACTTATTTCTTTTTTTTTCTTTTTTCTTTTTTTTTTTTTAAAGAGAGTGAGAGAGGAGAGAGAGAGAGAATTTTTTTAATATTTATTTTTTAGTTCTCGGCAGACACAACATCTTTGTTGGTATGTGGTGCTGAGGATCGAACCCGGGCCGCACGCATGCCAGGCGAGCCCGCTACCGCTTGAGCCACATCCCCAGCCCTTAATTCATTTCTAATTCTTCATAATCAGAAACAAAGCTGGAAGAGCCTTTCTGGGACACCTATCCAGGCTCTGCTGGCTCTAGCAGGATGGCCTGCAGCTGGCGACGAGGCGCTGTGACCACCTGCCACATAATCGCTGCTCAGCACCTGCCCAGGAGGCCTCGCAGTTCCACCATTCCTTTTGCCAAATGGGCAGGTACAAGTGGCATCTGAAGACTGTCTATACTCTCTTGACTTTGGTGGGTGGGGGCTGAGCAGGGGAGCAAAGCTTTCCAGACCCCCACACGATTACACTCTGTGTAGCTGACTTGTAGCTTCTACCTGTTTTTAAAAATCAGGAAATGTTCTGCTGATTCCCAAGAAAACCCTGCCGACCTTCCGTGGCACTGGCTGCAGTATGTTCTCCCACACCCGCCACCTCCTTTCACCATTCTGAGTGTGGCTACCAGGCAGCCGGGTGGATTTTCTCCAGAAACAGAAAAGTATCAATCATTCCACTGAATTTCACTTATTATACTCATCTCAGGAGATCAGTTACATTAATTTTGTCAAGAGAAACTCAACAATTTAAAGAGGTGCTCCAGGAAAACTGGAAAGCTTCTCAAGGTGCTAGAATGTCCCTTCCAGGAGGTGTTGGGGAGTGGCGAGGCCTGGCCTTGTGGTCTGAGCAGCTCAGGGTACATTCTCAGCCTGGCACCAGCCCTTGGAAGCTGTTTGTCCCTAGTCCATTCATGCAATTTCTACACTTGACCTTGAACGGATACCTACCTCCAGCTCCTCTTGGTTGGACACTCTCATGGTCAAGAGCAGGAAGTCCCTTGAGTAGCACTGAACCAGCTCTTGCTGCTGATCTTCAGGAAGTTGGGCAAGAAACATGCCCAGGGGAGTCTGCTGGAAAATTTCCACTAACTTCTCTGACTGCCCTGCAGGGAAGAAGCCAGAGTGGCTTGAGAGAAGCAAAGCCACAAGCTGAGAGAAGCTCGTTGCCCAGAAGGACCCACAGGCTAGTACAGCCCCCTGGGGCAGCGTGGAGACAGGGTCCTGTTGGCTGCTTTACAGGAATAGAGAATGGAGATGTACAGACCAGGGGACCCGGAAAGGAAGGACACGCTGCCCCAACAGGAAAGCACATCTGAGGTAGCCTGAGTTTTGTGCTACACGTCTGTCAGGTGCAATGGGCCCCAGGAGTCCTGGGTTCCCAGGGCATCAGGACTGAGTGGGCTGCTCTTCAGGGCTGGGGTCAGAGCCTGCACCACCCGAGGTTTTCCTCCAGCAGGTGGGGAGTCTGCACACTCCGGGGACCAGCAGGAGTAAAGAAACACCCTCTCCGCAGGAGACAGACTGCTTCCAGGGGACAGCGGGAGAATATGGAACCGGAAAAGCAAGTTCACTTCGAGTGTACTGACTGGTTCTCCAAGTAAGTGTTGAAAAGATGACTTCACATGTGAAGCATGACTTCTCAAAAAAGTCATTTCCAAAAAAAGCACTGGCATTGGCTTTTCAGGAATGACTATTGCCAACCCTCACCCCCAGAATGTGACAGCGGAGCTTGCTGTCTAGCTTGTGTGACTCAGGAGGGAAGAAGGAGGACACGCCTCCTTGGTTGCCAGCAGCTGTTGAGAAAGCTTAAATGGGAAGTTTCCCGGGTCTGAGCCTCAGGACAGGACAGTGAACTCGCAGCAGGTAGGAAGCTCCGGCAGCTGCTGGAACGTGCTCCAGTTCACCAGACTGCCAGCCAGAGAGCTACCACGTCACCTAAAGGCTCCTTCACAGTGGGACTTAAAGGCTTCAGCAGAAATTCCAAAATGAAAAAAAAAAAAACAAAAACATGAACTTTAGCCTATTCCGCACACAAAGTATGAAAACTAAAAGTCCTGGAATTTCAGGTGCTAGCCACTGTCAGCCCGATGATGGCCAGGCAGCCGCTCTTGGGGACAGGCTGCTTGACAGGGCTGAATCAGGCCCGACTTAAGCAGGGCTCACCTTCTGTATCTGTGATATACTGGGCCTTGACCCAGAGCTCGTCCAGATAGTCCCTGATTCTCCAGCTGAAGGGGACACTGTTGCAAGCACCCTCGGGAAGGCTCATATGGTTCTGCACCACGATGGAGGACATCTCACTCTTGGATCTGCAGTGGGGTGAGGTGAACAAGAATTGGTTCCTGAGACGGTGCTCTGAATACCAGAGGACGTGTGACTCAGTCCTCAAGAGGTGCTGTGGGGGGGCTAGTGTTGTGGCTCAGCGGTAGAGTGCTCGCCTGGCACACGCAGGGCCCTGGGTTCAATCCTCAGCACCACATAAAAATAAATAAATAAAATAAGCGTACTGTATCCATCTACAACTTAAAAATAAATACCGTGGGCCAGAGTTGGCTCCATGGTCGAGTGCTTGCCTGGCACGTGCAAGGACCTGGGTTCCATTTCCCAGACCACACAAAGCCAGTCAGGGACCCTGCTGTACAGGAATTGGAGACTGCCTCACAACCCGTGTTTACAGACAGAACGGAAGCAGGCCACATGGGCAGGCCCAGGAAGGGCCCAAGCCTCTAGCAGAACCAGGTTTCTGGTGCTGGCACCTGTGCCTCTCCTGCATCTTATCTGGCTACATTCCAGAACTGGAGTCTTTGCAATCTGAACAGGAATCTGGGGGAGGCTCGACAGAACTGGGAAGAGCACAGGGGGACACGCTCTCTCAAAAGGGCAGTGTCCCCACTGCACACGAATGGAACCTGGTTTTCTCACTCTGACAGGTGCCCTGAGAGAAGGAACATGGAGAGAGGACAAAGCTGCCAGGACACCTGGCCTCTGAGCTGGATCCAACCATGTTCCACTTCCCCAAGTACTGGAGCAGCTGAGGTGCTGCGTGGATTGTCACTCACCTTGTGTTATTCATCACAAGCGGAATATTCAGGAACTTAGTGTCACGGAAAATAAACATCCACATGTCCTGGACCCAGGCTGGGGAGTGTGCTCTGATCAGAAGCTCAAGGTTGCCGTCTCTGTCGATGAAGGAGATCAAGCTGGCCAGCAGAGGGGTGACCATGCCTTGGACTCGCTTCCAAAGGGTGTGCCTGCAGCAGGGGCAGACAGAGGACAGGGGACAGTGGCTTAGCACAACAGCCACTTCTGTGATCTTGACGTCTCCTGAAGTATAACAGACTCACAAATACAATTTCCTTAAGTTTAGAAGCAACACAAGAATGGAACTTAATTCTACATCTAGTAACAGTAACCAGTATTTTGAAAAAGTAGAATAAATATTTGCTGTTTTTAATTGTTTTTAAATATTTTTTACTTGTCCATGGACCTTTATTTTATTCATTTATATGTGGTGCTGAAAATCAAGCCCAGTGCCTCACATATGCTAGGCAAGGGCTCTACCACTGAGCCTCAGCCTGAGCCCCATGCTGCTTTTTTATAATAGTGATTTTTCAGAACAAGCCATTGAGGTTCTATAAACAAATCAAATAATGATCAAATTCACTAAAAATAATAAATATTGCAAGAAGAAATATCAGCTGTAGATAAAATATAATAAAGATGAAGAGACCAAAGTAAATTTGATGTAGATAATGCTAAACAAGAAAACATGGTCATCTAGAATTCAGCCTTTGTTGTTGGTGTTTCTGTAACTAACCCTGAGTACTTCAGAGTGACTGTGGTTAATTGGTTGAATTAACTACATTTCACTTTCATATTAAATTGTGCTTTTACGTAACAACAAAACTCCCACAATTTCTTGTGGTAAAGGACAAGAATTACAAATTAATTGTGTTTCCAAAAAAAAAAAAATGAGGGCTTTTGTATGAAGAAAACATTTCTGACTATACAATATCCAGTATTCTAGAAGGATTTAAAAACATCTACTGAGAGAACAAATATCCTATTATACAAGGATATCACTTAAGACCCCCAAAATAGAACATGCACAGAGGATGGTAGGGTGACGTGAAAGGGGCCCTGGGCTGGGCACAGCTGAGCATCCTGGGAAGTGCTCAGAGTAATGCAGTCCCCTCAGAGGGCCTCCAAGGGACGGAACTCAAACAACCTGAGAATCAAAAAGAATATCGAAAGCAACAGGCCACATCACAGGGTGAACTAAAAACCAGGACTTCTGATGTAGAGGACCCCAAGCAGCCAGCTATCTAGCCCCGAGGGTACGTGACATTAAGTCCCAGATACACAGTGCTGGTAAAGTGTCAGGACGTCTCATGGCCCTGCCAGCCCCAGGTGCAGCTGTTCCTGGACATTGCAGGTGACCGCAGGGAGGAAGCCTCTCCTGAGTGCTGTGGAGTCCACGGGGCAATGAAAACAGAGGCCAGCAAGGCCAGAGCAACAGCGGCAAAGGGGCGACGGGAACGGGGCTTGGACGTGTGCTAGGAAATGGAGACCGTCCATTGGGGAAGCCTAAGATGTTCAGTGTCGGTCTCACAAACCCCTCTAGGAGGCGTGGCGGGAAGGGAGTCAGGAGCACAGGAGAGAAAACCTAACAGAGGCTCCCGCAGAGGGGAAGCCTGCACCCCGGGCCCTGGCTGCCCACACTCTGCCTGTGCCCACACTCCCACTGTGGCCATCCGGGGAGAGGGCCTGGTGCCAGGGAGTCGGGGGAGACCCGGGGGACCATGGAGGACCTCAGTGGCCTGAGATATCTCTGCCAACAGGCGGGCTCCAGCACCATCTGAGATCCCATGAACATTCCTGTCCCCTCAGCACAGGGTCTTCAAAGGTCATCTCAAGTCTGAAGAAAAAGGTCCACAGCCAATAAATGACACTCCAGGGTCCTAAATCTGTTCTTCTGTTACTTCAAGAAGTAGGCTGGGAAGATAATTTCTGCTACTTCCCTGCACACCACCATCTCAATTTTAATAACCAAAGGCAAACTGGCTGCGGTCTATGGCATGCTGAAAAACATCCTGCTTGAACATTTTTTTTGTTTTCTATTATGAAAAATATTAAGCAAACAAAAGCAGAAAACAGAGGTCAACAACCCCCATGACCACCATTCATGACCACCACCAGGTGACCAACAATCCCCCATGACCACCATCCAGGGGACCAATACCCCTCAAGACTACCATCCAGGTTTGCTTTCGGCTCTTGAAGCAGAAATAAAGCTCTGCATGCTCAGAGGTAGAGAAACACCTGCTGCGCTCCCCCAGCTGGGGGGCACAGAGGGCACGGAGGTCCCCACGCCCCGGCCACCCTCCGCACCTGAAGGTGCCGGCCTCCTGGAGCGCATCCTGGTTCGCGGCCTCTCGCCCCACCCACTCCTTCAGACTACAGAGCTGGTTCTCCTCTTGCTTCTTTAGAAGGACATAGAGGCGCATCTTGGATATCCGCAAGAACGCAGCTGTGAAAAGACAGAAGGGACAGAATCGGTTCCACACAGGGGCACCAAGTTGCAGGCTCTGTGGTGCTGCTTCTCTGGCTTCCCCAAAGAGGGAAGCCTCGGGTCCTCTGGGCAGGCCAACTCTAGAGCAGAAGTCAGGAGACGGCCTCGGATCCCCACTACACCGGCTGCCCACTGCTCAGGAAGGGTCTGCTGGAGCAGGGTGAGAAGCTGGGCCCCGACTCGTACCACTGCACCTGCCGACTCCGCTCAAGAGGCTGAGGAGGACGGTGACTCTCCTCACGTTGCGCGGGCAGCTCTCCTGGTCCCGGAGCATACCCACGGCACTTTGCACACAGCTCCGCAGCAGTCGGGTGGTGTCCAGGACCTGTGCCTGCCAGGGAGACAGCACGTCGTCTGCTGCTGCCATGGCCAGGGAGGGTGAAAGCCAAGCTACCCGAGAGGATGGCCTCATGTGAGTCTCCAAGGCGAGGCCGACCTACCGACCTCCCTGGGCTGGGACCCGTGTGTTGCCTGACCCCCTGAGGACCACTGGCAAGGTGGTGGCTGACATCAGGGATTTCGTCAGAGGTTAAGGGAAGGGGCAGAGCTACCTAGGGGGCTTCATAAAGAAGGGAATGGCAGATCTTGTCCTGGTGAGTCCTGACAAGTGGAGAGAGAAGTCAGGGGTCAGCCTGACCCCAGAACAGCTGCTCGGGCTCCCCCAGAACTCACATCAGTGTCCCTCAGATCCGCAGCCTCACACCCCATCTCCTCAGGACCTTCCCTTTCCAATTCCTCTTCTGTCACCTCCCCTGACTTGCTGGTTTCTACCTCCATCACCTCCTCCTGGTTGCCTTTCGCTGCAAGTGAAGGAAACACGATCAAGTTACCACTTGGAGAAGGAAGTGGGTGGGTGGTACCACATCTGTGCTTCGGTTGGGTTTCGCCAGCATTTCCCCTGTCCCAAGCTTCCATGGCGGCCCCAGATCCTCCAGATCACCACAAAATCCACTGGTCAGTTGGCCCACAGCCTGGGCTGAGAGCTGGCACATGACCCACAGCACACCAGCTGGTACACTGGGTGCGCTCGATGGCCCTCCCGCGGCCCTGGCGATCTGGACTGTGAGCCAGGCACACCCTGAGTTCCTGCAGAGGACAGGTGCTGAGACCAGAGATGACTCAAGCACCACAGAAGGCTGCAAGCTCAGCTCCTTCCACCTGCCTTCCCCCACCTCCCCAGACTGCCACCTACAACTCACGCTCAGGGCTGCCTCCTGGCACGAACAGCTGGCTGATGGTGAAACTCTGCAGCTTGGTCACATCAGAGGCCATGACTGTGGACCTCCGGAGGTCATCGATGTGCACAGACCTCCACAGTCCTGTGAGGAACAAGGCCATCAGGTCTTCTCAAGTCTTTGCGGCTTTCTTCTTACCAGTTATAAGCAGGGACACACCTCTGTCCAGATTTTTAATCACACTACTTAGCCAGAGGGACAATTAGTACCTCAGAGTCTATGCTCCTGAACACACCAAAACCCACCAGACCACTACATCCACACCAGCATGCTCACCATCAACATGATACTGAGCCTGATTAAATGGTGTGCAAAGGCTGCATGGATCCAGGGATTGAACTCAGGGGCACTCGGCCACTGAGCCACATCCCCAGCCCTATTTTGTATTTTATTTAGAGACAGGGTCTCACTGATTCGATTAGCACCTTGCTTTCATAAAGGGTGGTTTGGGACTCTCGATCCTCCTGCCTCAGCCTCCTGAGCTGTTGGGATTACAGGCATGTGCCACTGCACCCGGCTCAGTTTGTGGTTCTTTATGTGCATCTTACTGTACTTATTGTTTCATACTTAGAAAGGGCTACAAGGTGCTGATGGGTTGGCTTTCCACCTATGAAATTATAAGACTATTTCTCTCTTTCCAGAATAACAATTGTCTTATATAATCCAGCTGGTGACCATTCCACAGAAAAAGAGATGGGCTGATTTGAAGATAGTGTTTCCCCAGAGCAGGCGCAAGTGAAGAGCAGGAGCATGAGCACATGCTGTGTGCTCCTGAGGTGGGCCAGGCCATGCTGACACAGCAGTAGATCCTAGGGTGAGGGCTGTGAGCAGTGAGCCTGGGGCGGCGGGGGGCCCAGAGACAGCAGGGGTTGGTATCTGAGCTGGATGTGGGCAGCCTGGGACCAGAGAAGCAGCTCAGACCTACTTAAAGACAGTCACTGGTATTTTGGCCCTACCTCCATGGAATCCCACGTAGGATGCTCCGCTCCCCATGCGGGACAGTTTTGTGATGAGATAGAGGAAGACACAGCCCTGAGTTCCTTGCATTTTGTGGACTTCATTGATGGCAGAATACCTATTGAGAGAACAAAATCAAAACAAACAAAAGCCCAGTCGTGATGTGGCTGCTGAATGTCCCAGGAGCTGTTGGGGTTTGGCCACATTCCACAATGCCAGGGGCCACCACATCTCTGTGACAGGAGGAGGGTGGCTTCCTATCGGCGGGCTCACTTCCTCCCTCTCATTGCTGACCAGAACCCCCACGCAGCACTCCTCAGGGGCCACACGTGCCAGAGCAGGGGGCTTGCCACTCTTGCCATTTCGAGAGAGTACCCTGTGGTCCTGTGTCCTTGCAGCCCCCCTGTCGGATCAGGCTGGATCGTAACTTGTACTAGGGTCTCAGTGCTTTAAAAAGGCAGAAGTCACTCTTAAGTGACATAAGGTGACAGAACACAGCTAATTCTGAAAGCATGACATTTCCTCTCTGGACACTATAAAAATGTACATAAATATTAATTTATTGACATAGTCTTACCGCCCTTAAACCTGTATTAAGTGATTTCCTTTATATGCAGTGCTGGAGATCTGACCCAGGGCCTCAGGCATGCTAGGCAAGCGCTCTACCACCAAGCTGCACCCCACACTGTCCTTTAATTCAAATTGTGCAGTTCAAAACCAAAATGACCCAAACATGCCTGCAAACAGGCTTTAACGCATTCTTCCACCCACCAGAAACATTCCATTATTGACGGGTCTTGTATTTCACACCTTTGGGCCATTCCTGGCTTTCCCCTTCATCCTTTCCTCTCTAGTGTCTCTAGCCCATGTCAGGGGCTGGGAGGGAGAGTCTTTCTTGTCTCCACACCATTTTTCAGGGAGGAAATTCTCTAAGAGGTCCTGGGTAGCTTTTGGCTTACAATGATTTTCTGAGAAAAATCCCAAGAACATACTTAGCTGACGCAACAAGCTGAGCACTGTGAGCGCCGTCGTCAAAATCCATCTGGACGATGAGGATTTTACATCTGGCTGTCTTCACTAAGCTGCTTCTGAAAGAAAAAGGGATCACCCAAGTGAGCCCTCTATCCTAAAACACGGGAGCCACAGATCAAGGGCTGAGGCAGGAGGGCCGCAAGTTCCAGGCCAGCCTCAGCAACTCAGCAAGATGGTGTCTCACAATCTAAAATAATAATAATGAAGGGCTAGGGACGCAGCTCAGCGGTAGAGTGGCTGGGTCCGATCTCCAGCACCACGGGTGAAGCAAACAAAAACGTGGATCACAGCTCTCCACAAAGCGAATGGAAAGTCAGGCCATGCAGAACCCAGCATCTGGGTGGGGTCCCCCTCCACAAGTGAGGATGCAATCCACTGGCGAAGAAGAGGCCTAGGCAATGCTCAGGAGACAGGTGGACACGACTGTAGACAAGGCCACTTACAGCTTGGGCCAGGGGGTCATACCAGGGGACCGAGCAATGACCCTCTCAGAGTTCCTGACAAGGGGTTACCACGCCCTGGCACACAACACCTGGAACCCAGGACACAGGCCAAGGGCAATGGCCAGGCAGGGCACCTCACCGGACTTCCTTGAGGAACGAGTACTCGGTGTCGAACTGCTGCAGTGACAGGATCACGGGCTTCGGGGCCAAGCCCTTCACCTCCGCCCCTAGGGCCTCGCAGTCATGGCTCGTCAGCAGTCTGGAGAAGGTGGTGACCTGCAATGTGGGCACACGAGCCATCAGCTGAATTCAAGAAAGGGCACAGAGCTCTGGGTCCGAAACCGGGGTCAGTGCGCATTCAAACAGAAAGAAGCCCGACCCGGAGCAGCTTTGACATGCAAGGGTGGCAGAGGCGAGGATCTCCAGGATCAGCAGAGAGAAGACTTGCCCCGCCCCAAAGATGCCTCTGTCTCCTTCTAAGATGCCAACGTCTCTCTTCCTGCTTTGGTCCCCAGCTAAAAGCCTCCTGATCCTTTAGGGCTCAGCTAAAAACTAGAGTTAGCCTCCACCAACTCACCCTCCCTGGTACTTTGCATTCTCTGCCATGGACCACACTCCATAGTGCAAACCCAGCTGTTCCCGGCACACGGGACCTCAGCTCTCCAGACCCCTTCTTTTTCTTTCTTTCTTTTTTTTTTTTTTGTTTTCAGTACCAGGGTATGAACACAGGAGAGCTTAACCACTAAGCCACATCCCCGTCCTTTTTTATATTTTATACAGAGACAGGATCTCGCCGAGTTCGAGGGCCTTGCTAAATTGCTGAGGCTGGCTCTGGACTCTCGGTGCTCCTGCCTCAGCCTCCCAAGCCTCTGGGATTATCAGTGTGGCCTTCATCCCTGACTTCAGATGCCTTCTCTGGGTCTGTCCTCAATGACCAGCTTCCAATTCTCACATTCGACCACAGCAGACACACAAACTATGCCAAACAGATTCCACCACTGGCTCCTAAACCTGTTGCTACTTTCTGGATTCTCCATGGCAATTGCGCAAAGCTGCAGTGAGCTCAGGAAGACTGTCCTCCACCTCTGTACCCTCCATGGAGTTGGTGACTACCTCGGCCACACTGCCTGCTAACCGTCTGCAGTTTACACCGCGCCAGCCGCCTCTTGACACGTCTATCCTGTCAGTGTCAGTCTCCTGCTCCACTGTTTTGCCATCGCCCAAGCAAGGGGCACATCTACGCACACCTTCCTCCACAGCTCCTGTGCAGGCAGGACCAAGGTCAAGGCTGCTGACAGGCCTCCATGCATCTCTCCACCTATCCCATCCCCAGGACCCAGCACTCACAGCCTGAACTTCAAGCTCGGTCAGTGGTCCCCTCCTCGTCTCCGGCATAGATGCTGATTCAGACTGTGCTCCACGGAGCCCTCTGCCTCTGACGCCTGCCAGCCAGCCCTCACAGCCAGCCCAAGAGGCCTCTCTGAACTGCTTGTGATCCGTTCCCTCACCTGGCTACACAACATTGACCTATGACACTCAGGGCATCTGTTGGGAGGCATCCTCGTCCGTTACTCTAACAAGGTCCAAGGATGAGAAGCAGGCTAATCAACTGACACCCCGGGAGGGCCGGCAAGTGAACACTGAACCCAGTGCTGCTCTCAGAGCAGAGCGCTGCTCACCCACAGGCAAGCGAAGCCTAACTGAGCTCATCCTCTGCGACTGACACAGAGGGGACACTCCCGCCTCCCCTACCATGCGCTGACTTAATGGAGTTGAGACGTCCCGGCCCCAGATCAGGACTCTTGGATGAAAGAGGATGGGGAAGCTATGGGGACAGTCACCTCTGTGAAGATGGCATGGTGCTGCAGGTCTGCGGTGCGAAGGTGGGCTTGGAGGAAATCGGCAAAGGAGTGGTGCTGCTGCTTGTACCAGTATTCCTGCGACAGCGACTGTGCAGCAAATGAGCCCAGCGCAGAGGTGCTCAGCCGCACCACGGCATCCGGCGTGGCACAGTCCAGCAGGATCAGCTTGGCCTCCTCGAACACCCTGTGGTACAGCTCCTCGGACGGGTCCCCAGGGCCCTGCCTCTCCACAGCCTGCAGCACCACGGAGGCACAGGCGTCGGAGTGGTAGCCGATGAAGACATCAGCAGGGGTATACTTGTGCCCAGGCATGAACTGATGATGGTCCTTTACATTAGCAAACTGCTCTGCCCACCGCGTGAGCTCCTGCACGATGCTCTTCTGCCACCCCTGCAGCACCGAGCTGAGGTCCAGGTAGTGCTTCTCCAGCCGGTTAATGAGGGGCACGGGGAACTGCTCGTACACCACATTTTTCTCCTCGATGACGATCAGGCGGAAGTCGGGGTGGACCCGACACTTGACGCGATGGGTGCCGAGCCCGAGGTCCACGTACTTCTGGCCCCCGAGGTAGACGTAGTACTGGTTGAGCGCGTCGTACAGGCTCTCGTAGAGGTGCTGCAGGTTCAGCAGCACCACCATCTTGCCGGTCTCCATGCAGATCTTCACCCGGTTGATGTTTCTGCAGATCTGGGTGTACTCCTGGTCCCGGGGAAAACTGGAACCGAAGATGATCTCGGGCTGCTGGTCCTCACTGAAGAATGATCGCTGCAGGATCTGCAGGGCCACGTAGTTTTTGGTCAGCACCAGCAAGTAGCGGGATTCAGCATCTTCCAGCTCTCCAAGTGCCCCCCTTGGAGAGCCCCAACAAATGTTCTGCTTAATGAGCTCCAGGGTGCTGACCTCTCCCATGCACCTGGCCGCAGGTAAGCTGGCCGTAAAGATGTCCAGAGCGGGGATGTCATCTTTGCCACTGAAGTTTCGAAGGATCGCCTGCGCAATCTCCTGTGGGGAAGGCTTCCTGTTAGATGCTCTGGCGGTGGCGAAGACCATCTTGATGAGGCTGTAGTAGTCTCGAAGCCCGAAGAATTCCTTGTCCTGCCTCTGGCACACCATCTCATAGGCTTTGGCCAAGGGAGCGAAGTACCCTTGGACCCTGTCCTGCACCAGGCTGTCTGAAGAGCAGATCCCTCTGGCACTCTCTATGAGCTCCTTCTCACTGGGGCTGCCGCGGGACACAAAGATGCCCCGGTTCATCTTGGCAGGGTCGAGGGCCCAGTTGGAAATACCTATGAAGCCGACTTTTTTGTGGGGGGCCGGATGGTCTTCAATGCACCCGTCTTCCAGCAGGGGGTGCAGAGTCTTCAGGGGCATTTTGGGGGAATCTTCTGCCAAGCCGACCTCGTCCAACACCACCACAGACACGTACTGCTGCAGGTCCTTCCCCTGCTGGAAGCGAGCGCACTGCTTGAAGGTGTTGATGATGCCCTGTGGGGTGGAGTGGGGGCTACACTGGAAGGACACCAGGTGGACCTGCTTCAGGCTGCGGAAGAGAGCGGAGTGTGCGGCCTGGCCCTGCATGGCATCTGCCACGATGGTCTTGGCGAGAGATTTGGAGCTGCCAGGCTTCCCCACCAGGAAGAGGGGGATCTTCAGCTCAATGCAGATGACCATCATGAAGACGTTCTCCTTCAGAGCCAAGTTCCTGGCTATGGTTTTCCTCAGAGGCACCCCACTCAGGAAAAGATCCTGTGCGTGCGTGATCTCGTCCAGGATGACCCTGCTGTCGTCATATGGTTCTGGAAAGGACCTGCAAATGGCTCTGCGGTAGGACTCCTTGTCCTCTAGGGAGGCGTGGTAACAGACCCCCACTGCCAGCACCAGGGACCAGAGGACGGGGTCTCTCCTGAAGTTATTTTTGCTGGCACGGGACTCGCAGAGAAAGGTGTTCAACTTCTCCAAGAGCATCTCGCTGCGGCCATGAAACCACGTAAACACCTTCACACAGCGCTCCACGTCCCGGAGGCTGACGAAACTGCACTCACTTTTAGTGTTCCTCATGAACCTCTGAGAGGCAGAGAGCACTTCCGTGATCACACGAGTCTCGCCCTCGCTGATCCTGACGTGGTCCACCAGTCTCTGCACAATCTGCTGGATGTAGAGCTTTTCTGAAGTGTCATTCAGCTGCCCAAAGTCCCACACCAGAGGAATCAGGCTGGGGGGCAGGGCGTGGACACGGTACACCAGCTGCCTGAGGGGAATGGAGCCCAGCCTGTCTGCCGTCTCCTTGGCACTGACCCTGTACCCCAAACCAGCCGACTCCAAACGGCAGATGGTCTCCCGGGAGTGCTTCCTGTAAGGGTTGCAGGCAGCTATGATGTGCAAGCCTGAGTCCTCCTCCAGGGGCTGGCCATCCACGGTCCGGTCACACAAGACTTCCTTGATACAGCTTATGGCCTCTGTTGTGTTGGCTTCATCAAAGAACAAGATGGTGTCCAACTGGTCTTGGTCCTTATTGGAGAAGGCAGTAACCTCGGCTTCCCAGACTTTGGAGTGGATCATGGCTGCAGTTGTTCCTCCATGGACCTTGACCAGCTTCATGGTCTCAGCCTGGGCACCACAACGCCGCAGATCACTAAGGAATTTAATGAGCCTGGTTTTCCCACAGCCGGTTTCTCCCATGATGATAACTGGGATCCCGCAGCGGAACCGCATCTCAATGGCCAGGATCTTGAGCATGTTGTCTGTGGTGAGCTCGTAGGTTTCATCGGGATCCAGGGCCCATGGGATTCCCAGTGCCAGGCAGAGTCTCAAGAGTTTCTCGTGTCTGGGCAGGTTATCAAAGTCAACATTGAAGGGCACCCTCTGCAGCGACAGCCCCCTGTACAGTTCTGCTGTCATGACATCTCTCTTGATTATCTTCCCGTTGAGATGGTTGATGGCGTCGACACTGCCCTTGTTATTGGGCCGGAGATGGAAGCCTATGAATGTCATTGTCACACGGTCGCCATTGAAGAACACATATGGGTGCGGCTCTGACTCCCACCTCCTTCGGAGTGTAAAGGGGGCAAGGTCTTCTTCATCAACCCCATCCATGGTGACCGTGTGCTTCCCTGGGCTCTGGTCAGAGGTGTGAAGTGTTGGAGTCGCAAAGTCTCTTGCCATGAAGATCATGAAGGTGACCACAAAGTTCTTGAAGCCCCTCAGTGTGTCTCCCGTGAAATCTGGGTTGCAGAACACAGAGGCCTCACAGTCCTTCAGCTGACAGTTGAGGAACCGAGCAAAGTTCCGGAGCTCTGACCAGGAGGGGTTGATGACCCCACAGTAGATGAGGAGGTGCTGGATGCACTCCCCCGGGGTGCCTTCAACAGACCCTTCTTGGTATTGAAATGTGTCCAGGTTTTGCTTTTGATGGAATCGTTTTAAGTATTGGAAAGGTCTTTGGAAAGTGGCACTGCGGAATTCTCGCTCGTCCATTCCAGGCTCCAGGAAGCTCCTCTCGGGGTTCAGCTCCATGTCTATCACTTCTTTGGGAGGTCTGCAGGTGACTTTGGGGAATATGTCAAGAAAACTGAACTTGGGGGCATGTGGATTCTGCAAAGAAGAGACAAAGAAGTGAGAAGGTGATTTCCTGGAAAACGCCCGAGTTTACCCTCCACGTTCTGCCCCGGAAGGGCCTCTAGGAGAACCTCACTTGGCAGCACGTAGCCTTCCGCAGGCTCTTGTTCACAGAGGCTGGCATCTGCACCTTAGGGCATCACAGAAGCCCAACCACAGCAGCTGTGTTATTAACCAGGAAGCCTTCCAACCCAGCCTCCTGCGGCTCCATCTCCCACCAATCACAAACACCCACGTGACCACAGAACTCCTTCCTGACAGCTAATGGGGTCCCATGCATGAAGTCTCCCTGCCATCTTCACTGGCAGTGAAGGAGATGGTGGCTGTCCGTGGAGGAACCTCTGCACTCGGCACAGCTGGGACTCCACCCTGTCATGATCTGACGCGTACAGAAAAATCCAAGATGCTGCCAATCAATAAGAGCATTCTCCAACCAGTGAGCTTTAAGACCTATCTCCAAACATGTATTCCCGACACTTTGCTCACTGCTTGCCTGAGGCAAGAGTGGGAAACAACTAAGACGTGTCACCCAGGCCACAGATTTTTTGTGACCCCCTGCAAATGCCCCATGTACATACCAGCTTTAAAGACCGCTTTAGCAGTCCTGAATTTCCTTCTGGAATTTCAACGATATATAAATGGCGCGGGTTCCGAAGCCACATTTTCCCACTTACATCCATCAGGTATTGTAAAATGAGGAGTTTGAAAAGAAAGACCCAAGTTCCAGTCTGTACCTAGAAACAGAGGAGCACAGGTTTGTAAAGACATAATTGATAACCACTCCTCCCAAGCCCCTGGACCCTCTGTCTTGTTCCTTGAGAGAAGGGTACTGACCATGGGCAGGTGTAGAAGGGAAGGACTCTTCGGACAGGGGGAAACAGGTGGCCTGGGAATCACATCTTCTGACATGGCCATCCAGTGGCCACGTGGCACTTACCGAAGCAGTCACATCCAAGTGGAACAGCATGGGTGCTTTCTGGTACTGAGCATCCAGGAAAGGCAGGAGGGAGCCCAGGACACAGCTCTCATCCACCTGAGCCTCTGTCAACCGGATGATCTTTAAAGGCACCTTTTTGCTGTTTAACTTCCTTTTCAGTTGCTCATGCAGTCTCTTCACATAGAGAGATTTCCCTGTAATGTTAAAATAAGGGAATGAAACCCCAAGGCTATGGACCAAGAGAAACAGGATCCAGAGACTTGAAGTTACTTCTCAGCAGTGGCACACACCTTCAGAGGCTGAGGCAGGAGGATCGTAAGTTAAAGGCTAGCCTCAGCAACTCAGTGAGGAACCCCTGGGGTAAATCCCGTTTTAAAAAAAAGTATTTCATGTAAAATTCATAAGTGAAACCATGGAACACCAGATTGGAGAACAGTCCACCACGAAGCCAGAGTCCCCGCCGCACCGGCAGCCAGGCCACTAGCAGGACCGCAGTGGAGGTGAAATAAAGTAAAGCAGAGGCATGTCCGCAGGGAAGGGGAGCCGGCTCGGTCCTGACAGGGCGCAGTGGAGGGAGTCCAAGGAAGCCTGGGGAGAGCGCGAGGCCCCGTCTCCTGGGCCACGCCCTTGCGCCTCTGCTCACGCCAACACGCCAGCCAGGAAGACTCGGGAGAGTCCACGCAGGAAAAAAGTGACCTGCACAAAAGGGCCCCGGGGAGGAGCAGGGCTCCAGGAACTGCAGCCTGGGACAAAAGGAGGCGCCCTTCTGGGGAAGCGCTGACTGCAGGGCGTCAGACCCTCCTGAGACTCACTTTCCCAGCTGCAGAGGGTGTCATCTGAGGCGCTACAGAGGAAGGGGTCACTGGGCAGCCTAAAGGACTGCCTGCCCACCCCAGAACTCTCATTACCAACTCCCGCTCTCTCCGAGGACACGATCCCCACACACATCCGGTCTCTGAACACAGCGGCTGCGGACAGGGTCTGTGCTGGGACCTGGTAGTGACGTGCCAGGTAGGCCTGGATGGCATGGAGGGACGAGGCCTGGGGGATGAGGTGGGCCTTGTGCTGGCTGAAGGCCGAGGGCAGGTAGCAGCGCTCCTGGGCAGCGTCGCAGACCAGCACCAGCTGGTAGTCCTCCCGGGGACACTGTGTGCACAGGCTGCGGAAGAGGGCCTCCGCCTGGCAGGCCACCTCGTAGCTCAGCTGATCCGCAAACAGCAGGCTGTAGACCTTGTGCCCCTGGGAAACCGGGGCCAGGCAGCGGCGCAGGAGCAGGGCCACCTCTTCTAATGTGGTCCCCGGGGTACAGAGCAGCACCTCATCAAAAGTGGGCAGGGGCTGGCCAGGGGCCTGCATGTAGATGGCCAGGGCAGCCAACAGCACCTCAGAGTGGCCACACAAGACCAGGTTGGGCTGGCCAGCCTGCAGACCCACGGGGAGAGACCGCTCCACAGGAGGCCTGCCCATCCTGGCCAGGCGAACCAGACAATGGCCCAGGGCCTCCAGGTCCAGGCAGCCAGGCAGAAAGACACTCATGCTCTCCAGGGACTCTTCCATGATGGCCCCCAGCTTGGTCACCAGGCCGATCTCAGAGGACTGCAACGGAGGTAACTTTTCCATCACTGTCCTCACGCGGTGTCTGGGGGCCTCACTGAACCCCTCGGTGGCCCTTAAGACGTCGGCTGGCGTGCAGTGGTCTTTGATGAAGGACAGCATCATGAGGGCAGCTGTGCTGGGACTCTGCTTCCGGAGCTCGGTGCTCAGGAGGACCAGCTGCTCGGCCGTGTAGAAGTTGAGGTAGAAGTGCTCCCTGCGCTTCCTGCTCACCAGCTCCTTCCAGTCATCCAGGAAGCGCTCCATCTGCCTGCAGAGGGCTTCCAGGAGCAGGGGGACGTCCCCACTCTCTGTCAGCTGGCTCACCAACTCCAAGTGGAAGTCTATGCGGATGGAGACGCCGTTCCTGGGGCAGCAGTAGACCTCGGCAGTCCAGGTCCGGAACAGCAGGTTTCCCGCCGAGTACAGGTTCAGGAAGGCCTGCGTGAGCCGCTGCACGTGGCAGAATACCTGGGGGACACAGGGGCATGAGGCAGACCTCACAGTGAGCTACTGGACACACACGGGTTCAAGGGGCTTGGGTCACTCCTCCCGCCGGGTGACTGGGAAACACGATCCGCCTCAGGAGAGGGCTCCCTTCTTCTGGAAGCCATCAGTGCTGGATAGGAATGTCGACCGTGGGCCGCGCTCGGTGGTAGAGCACTTGCCTCGTATGTGCCGGGCCCAGGTTCTACGCCCAGCACGGGGGAAAAGGTCAGTTGTGAAATGCAAATAAACTATAAGGAAAGAAGCTATAACACAAGCAAGAGACCATCACACAAACCAACAACCTGTGTCGACCATGACTTCAGGGGCGCTCTACCATCGAGCTGTGTCTCCAGCCCTTTTTATTTTCAGACAGGATCTCACCAAATTGCTGAGGCAATCCTCCTGCTTCAGCCACACAAGTGGCTGGTGTTACAGACATGTGCCACCAGAATCTTGAGGGGTTGACTTTGCCAATTTACATCGTAAATGAAGGCATTCATGCTTCTTGCTACCTGGTCACCTCCTGTTCCACGCAGCTAACTCACTACCAGCTGGTGACAGATCCTCCTGGGGGACCTAATACCTCCAGGACCTATCCAACCTCTGATTTCGCTCCAGGCAAGGTGCACCCTGCAGACCACCAGCTCCACTCTCTGAAGCCACTCTGCCCACCAGAGGCCAATCCCTGCCTCTGTCCCTCCATGGGCAGCGGGCAGTGAATGTGCCCAGCCTGAGGCAACAGCGGCAGCCGCTTACCTCAGAGAACTTTTCCACTTCCATATTCTTGTGGTCTTTCTTGCCAGACATCAGCATCAGCTTGTTTAAAAGATCCTTCAGCTCTTCCAAAGAGTAGGCGCGCTCTGGCTCCAGGCCACTGTGACCCCCAGGGAGGATCAGGCGCAGGACGGTATCTGGGGAGATCTGGGAGGCACAATATATTCAGAGGTCATTTTCTGGTGGCTCAAACCCCGACTTGGCAGCGGGCCAGTGCAGGCCACCAACACCACACCTTGCATCTAGGAAGGCTCACCTTCTGGTCACTTGTGGGTGCCCTGATCTCATAGATGCCTCTGCTATTGATGGCGGCAGCCAGGGACAGGGACGAGAGCTCGATGGACCCGTGGCTTTCCTTCACGGTCTTCAGCCACCCCAGGTTCCTGGCAGAGTCTCGCTGTTGGGGCAGAAGCAGGGAACATGGGCCACGGTGAGAATGAGGTCTTCCTCCCTCCTGCCTCTGCCCTTGCTGGGCAAACTGCACCCACCCTCCTCCAGGGCTCCGGGTACAGCTGCTCACCCAGGGTCACTCCCTCAAGACCCTGGTCACTTAGTGTGGCTTTGCTGACGTGGGTTCCTAGCTCACCCTTGGAATGCATGTGGCCTGCACTGACGGATGTTTGGGTGGAGAGCCAGAGGCTGCGCTCCCAAGAGGGAAGCCACCGACTGCTGGGTCCCCAGAACAGAGGCCCAGAGAAGAGGTGCTTCACTGAACAGCAGCCCTGTGTTCTTCCTGTCCTGCCATGGTCCCCAAACACCACCAGAAGAACTTAGGAAAAACTGCAACAGATGTGAGCTTCTGGCAGAAAAACTGCCAACTGCTCTCTCTCTCTGCATCTCCCACCGCCAGCCACTTGCAGGGGCAGACGTCCTGAGCCTGTTCAGGCCTCTGGACGTCTCTGCTCACTGGGCAAGTTATGCAGCACCGTGAACCCACCCCCTGCACATGCACTTTACTGCAATGTTGTCTTTCTTCTGATAAAAAAAACCACTGCACACCCTTTCACATGCTTCCTACCTTGCTCTTTCCACACCTGTCCTGTAGGGCGGACACTGCTCTTGACCTGCAGTTCTGTAGCTCCCTTCCCACCCAAGACAAAGAAAGCATTTCCATAGGTGAAAGCTGCTTTTAAACATACGTTCAAGCAGCTGCCTACACGCCTCCGTGCCCCTGTGCCCTCAAAGCACAGCTGCTGCCCAGGGCTGCAAGTCACCAGGCCTTAGACCAGGAACAAGACGTACCAGCTTGCTGGGCAGGTGAGGGTCGTTTTTCAGAGCCTTCCACAGCTCCTTCAGCAGCTCCATGAACTCGCTGAAGCCGGCCTTCTTGTCCAGCTTGTACAGCAGGGACGC